ACAATGGGTCGTGCTCATATTATTTGTTATATTTTTATTATTCATTATTTTCACTTGACTCGCATAAATAATTTTGTTCGAAGAACATTTTATGCAGTTGTACTTCGCAGCACCTCACTTGCAATTTGCAATTTCTAGTTTGTAATATTATACTGTAAACATTGAGCCAAAAAATATTTTTCTACTGAAAAGGGAATACATTAATTAATAATAATAATAATATTAATAATTTAATAATAATCAATGAAATCATAAAGTATTTTTTTAAATACATTTTTTATAGCATTATCAGCATTACAGTACTTTAGTTTAACGATATCAAAGAGAGATAATACTTCCTGTATCTCTTAGGAAACTGTTACTATGAGTTTGATTAATCTCTCAAAACCTATTAAAATTCCAAATAACTTTAAAGAAGGAAGTGTTTTGAATTTCTTATTTATAGATGTGTGTGACTACAGTATATTAATGAGTAAGATACAGTACATAATTAATGAATATAATTAAAATTAATGAATGTAATTAAAATTAATGAATAGGAAAAGGAATAACCTATATCCCAAAGTAGATTTTGACCTTATTTTATGTTCTTTGCCATTGTACATTAATATATAATCACCTAAGCTTCCAGAATGTTCTTCTTAAAGGTGTTTTAATTGTTACTTTAAGGACACTATTATGATGGTGATCTCTATCGTGATGATGATAAATCATGGCGGTGGATCCAGGAATTAGAAATAGAGGGAGCCCAGGGAGGGTATAGATATTGTAGAGATTGTAGACCACTGTGGTTGGGGCTGAGGAACAATGATTATGGTACCTCTAGATGGCCAGAAATGGCACTCTCAGACTTAAATTTGAATATAATTTTATTTTTCTTTCTACTTTTTGTTATAATTTTGAAAAATACTGGGGGGGGGGGGTGCAGGTCGACTTTTCGTAAACGCAAAACCACCACTGACTCACTAAAAATTTGAGTACTTTAAGACTTGATTTATTTTACATACGCTAGCTTTCGAGCACAAATTTTTACATGATGATGTGTATCTTATGAATGCAGTAAGATGAGTCAGTGTTCGAAATCAATATTGCTCTTTCATTGCTGACTCAGTCACTTTATCATTATCAGTTGTACAGTCAGAATCATCTTGTGTGCTTGATGTCATATGGTATACTGTATTCAATATTGACATCATCGTGAATGTATGATTAGTATCATCAGCATCATGACAAGTCACCATATCTACCTATCTATCTACTATCAGTTTTACCTATTTCCAACGGGTTCATGGCATTGAGTGGCAAATTCAATGTAAACAAATGTGTCCCACTCTGATTTACTGTATGCAGTTACCAAAATAATTTGAACAAAAAAACCCAAAGTACTATTCCCTTAACTAAACCTCCTTAAAATAGCATTAATATTATTATTATAATGATGCTAATGATGATGCTGCTCTCATCGTTAATGTTGATGATAATAATAATAATAATAATAATATTTATTCGGCATTCAAGATACATCTTGAATAGGCAATTAGCCTGAACAAATAATTCTGTACTCTTTTCTTTTAATTTAACCAACATAAATATATATAAAATTATCATTGTTAGTATCATCATTATTCGCAGCATTTTGTTCAGCATCATTATAATGATTACTGTATATAATTATTCAACATCTTCATTATTTATCATGCTCTACATCATTTATCATTATCACACTCCATCTCATCAACATCATTATCATCCTTATATAGCATCATTTTCATACTCATCATCTTCAGTCTATTGTCTTCGTCGTCATCATCATCCTTGTCATGATATGCTTTCCATTACAGTATCTTCCTTTTCCACCATCAGTAACATCAGCATCACCATTTTCATCATTATCATTACCACCAATGTACATCGTTAGTTTCTATTTTTATCTCAGGAACAATGTTTAAATCATTAATTCTAAATATTGATTAATATTTAGAGAGGTAAAGCTGAAGTTTTCATGATTATTGCCTCACAGATGTCATTGCAGTTGAGAGTGTCCAACACTTTATAAGCTATTTCTGTAAATCATATGAATTGTGTTGAAAGATAAAATGGACAGAGAGCAAAAATAGCTGGACAGTTAGCCATCAGGGAAAATATTAAAAGAAAATCATTAAATTTGATTTCATAATTGCCAATTGACTTGATTTATTCTTTAAATATCAATACTAATAATTACAGTTCTGGAGCTCCTGGGAGTGTATCCAGATTAATAAAATCCAACACAAAATCTGTTGCTGCTTTCTTGATTTAAATGATAATGTTTCAATTTTTATTTATAAATTCAAAGTAGTGTATTCAGTAAATAATTCAGATAGGGCATAAGTTGATGCTGCAATAATTACTTTTATTCTTTTTATATATGTATTATTACAGTTTATATAGTTATTATAGATAATTTTCTGCAAGAAATACAACAATTTATGTTGGAAGCCTTTTGGCTTTATTTCCTCAGTACGGTCTTTGATTTTTGTTGTTATTTCATTTTGGTTTTTGTGGTAATGTGGCCCATTTTGTACTGGGTTCTTAAAGAATCCTTAATTATTTTTTGCAGAATCCTTAATTATTTTTTTTTAATAAAAAATTGTATTAATTGAATTAATTTTTGTGTATTGGCAAAATCAGATGTTATTTGTAATTTAAATATGAAGCTAATTAAGGATTTAAGGGAAGCATGGGACTGAGGTGGGTAAACCATGTATCTACTGTAAAACCCCCTCGCTAAACCCCTTCTATTTCAAATTCCTGGATCCGCCACTGTATATTTTTTAACCAGAGCAAGATAGCTGTACATCGTTCTAAATTAAATGAATGCAAAATAGTAGGGTACTGTATGTTGATGTGGTATTTGTAGGCCATGCTGTACAATATACAGGGATAGAGATGTTAATGTTGATCTTTATATCTTTCTAGGCTAAATCAGATGATCAGTTAGCATCTGAGAAGGCTGTGATTGATGCAGAGAAGGTATGGCTACTACACAGAGGAGGATTCAGTGCTGCCAAGCTTCTCCAGTCCGATGGCAACGAGCCAGTCGAAGGACGTGTCAAAATCAAATTGGAACACAGTGGAGACATCATTGAAGTAGACGATGATGATATTGAGAAGGTATAGTAATTAATGTAACATTAATTATTATATTAATTATTTTTAGGTACATTAATGTACTGTAATATTAAAATAGAATTTTATATAAACATTGCTATACTGTATCTAAAATTAACTGTACTTGTACACAGCTAAATTAATATTTTGATAAGAAATTATATCTGTGTAGCTTCATTCCGCCCGAAGGGTAAATGGATACTCCAACAATATACTGGAATACTGAGGATGGATGCACATTTTACATGATTAATTGGACTAAACTTCCAGAAAGAGTAATTGGACTGGAATTTACAAACATGGAGTTCAAAATTCAGAGTTCAGAATTAACTTTACACATAGTCTCTGAGTGCCGGAGGTTCTGGAAACTTAATTGTTGCTACCGTCATACTTGCCAAAAACGATATCTTTTTGGAGTGACAATTTGTAATATTGAATGTACATAAAATGACTCACCCAAAATGCAAAGTAGTCCCATGACAGAAGTCATGACAAAAACGCAGGCCAATGAAACTAAAAAAAAATTATCAGGCCCGTATCCAGGGGGGTTTTATGGTTCGGTAGAACTTCCCTTTTCTAGCAAACCCCCCTCTTTTCTGGCGAAACCCCCTCTGTAAATTTCCCAAATATTAGTCCTCCAACCCAACTAATGCACTACAGACCCACCCAGACACAGACATTTTCAAACATACTGTATCTGCATTTATAGCATTATTTAGACCCATAATGCACAAAAATCCTCTTGCTTTGGTGGTTTCGCCGACCCCATCGGGGCTTCGACTGTGGAACTCATGCCCAGAAACCCCCCCCCCCCCCCTTGGAAGAACCTGGCTATGGGCCTGTGTATCTTATTGATTCCATACTGAATATCGTTTCAACATAAACTTAACAAATGAACTATTTCCTGTTCTAGGCCAACCCTCCGCAGTTTGATCGTGCCGAGGACCTGGGACTTCTACCGTATCTCAATGAATCTGGTGTGTTGCATACCTTGCGCCAACGCTACGCAAGCAATCTTATCCATACAATAAATATTTATATTCCCATCTCCCCCCCCCCCCCATCCCTTGGGGAAATATTGAACTGAGAAGAAAAATAATAATCAACAAATGTTAATACAGGTAATACTGAATTTTATGATATAATGTAGAAAAATTTCCGAGATTAGCCCAGTCTTTGGTTCGAATCCAGGAAAAATACATTTTTTCTTTCTTATTACTTACAAGCAACTACACTCTCTTTTTAATCACATCACAACACATCTTGTAAATGGTGACTGTATTGCTTGTGAACTAAATATACTTAGTATACAAATTCATTTATAAAAGAAATTCCTCATAAAGACTCATTAAATGAAACTTGGTTATTAGAGCATATCATTCATCCGATATAATTGGCTCAGGTTCTTTCTGTTGGGTGTGAAGTTAATAAATAAATAACAAATATGTATCCTGTAATATTCCTTAATCCCCTCACGTAAAGTGTGTCTTTCATGCTCTAAGTTTTCTATGCTCTGTCCATACTTATCAAATTATATGTGACAAAATCCTGTGATTTGCCCATATTAAGGCATGATGATGTGAGGGAGCAACTTAGCTCATTCAGCTAAACTGCTGTTAGCCACTGGGTGTGTGCTGAACCGTGGTGATCTCTCAGTCTGCGGTTCAATTCCCATAGCTGCTGTCAGTGAAATGCAAGTTACTGTACGATAGCACACCATCTTTCGGATGAGACTTTTTGGTCCATGCGCACCTTACTGTAATGCCGGGCACTTACTGCATGGCATGGCGAATCCAACTGCGCTCCCTGCAAGCAATAGACGACGCAGCGCCATCTGCTGATTGTCGGTGGCAGTCTGCAAGGATCGTCATTAAAAGTGATCCGTTGCGGGCACGTCGTCGCGTTACGTTCTTCATAGAATCACGTCGGCCGATGACTGTCGTGCGCAGTGTGTGCCCGGCTTTAAGAACGCAATACACTCTTGGGAAAAGAGTAGGGAATTGTCTCCCGGTATTTTCCCAATTTCCACCAGAAGGACCCCACTGGAAATAATTCTTCAGACTTTCATGGGTTATTCTTGGTGTTTACCCCAAATAAATCCATCCATCACACCTAGCTTTCACATCAAATTTTGTTATTTTACCTTTTGAATTGCATCAATTTAAAAAATGTCATGCCTTCATTGAATAAAGGCTAAAAAAATCCTGCTTTGTTTTGCAAAACCTTGACCGAACCAAAATCTAGGATCAATGCTTTTTTTTAGGTCAAAATATATGTTATTCTTAACCAAAGATCTCAAAACGAAACCTTCCTCAACTACTCAGGAGCCAACAAGAGAATCAACAAAATACGATATTCAATGTTTCACAAAATACCATCTAATAACAACACTTCACCATCAGCAACTTCAGAGAGTTAAATAAAATAAATTTCAGAGTTGAATTGAACACGAGGTGTTATCGTCATCACCTTCGATTCAACTCTAATATGTCACATTAGTTTTATACTTTGATTGCCATGTGATGTGACAGAGTTAGATACTAATTCTACGTTATTATTTTATATTGATTTTATTTGGCAAATATGATGGGGAAAAAAAACCATTACATTTTCACTTTTAAAGAGATTGAAATGTGTAGATATTAATAGAAAAAGACATAGGCCTATCTATTGTTGATGATATTGAGTGCACAGATTTTATATTTCAAACATCAGTCCAAGCTATAATTGTAATAGAAACATTGATTTTAGGATTATAGAATTACAACCAAGAAATGCTACATTTTGTAGTTACATCAATTTTGTCTGGATATATCCTTCCAATACTGTATGCACTCATTTTAAACAATTGTCAATGCTCATTAAACACTGGATATAAATATTGAAAGTGAGCACTTCCTACTTAAGATGTTTTTCAAAGATTGTTGAAGGACTTCTCAAGTCCATTTTATTATTTTCTCCACTTGCTCTGACCTATTGCCCATTTAAGGTGACCTTGTATTGAGGTTCGGTGTTATTAGACCATGGAGGTATAGACTGAGGCGAAAAAAAAATCCCAAAAATGTTTTAGCTACTGTACTGTTCAGTAGGCCTACAAATAAACATTCTCCTTTCCCCAGGTCAATGGGAAAATGACATAAAGGGAGCTTTTTGACTGCCAAAACATTTTTCTTAATATTGATAACTAACATTGTGGCCATACATCCTCCTTGTTTCCTTTCCCCTTTTCTTGTTTTTGAACATTTGATCCTGGGTGTAATCAATGAAAATAAGCTGATGAAATGTGAGGTTATTTCTAAAGAAGTTCCAACAAGAATATCCAGTTGATTGATGAATGGGGTATACTGTAGGTTTATGAGAGTGGGATTGTTTACTATAAAAAAGATATTAAACTGAAGCACTTAGAGTTTAACTATGGCTTGATGATTAACATGTTGGAATCTAACTCATACTGAACTACCAAATATTTATTCTTGTTTCAATCATTTAAAAGTATAACAACAATAAATAATATCTATAATAAAAACCATAATAATAAGACCAGGTATCACAATATCTCAAGCTTGAATAAAATGTATCAAATTCCTCATTTTGATATATTTCTTTTTTTAATGCATTTATTGAACTACAGAAAGTACTTGGTGTAAGTAGCATACCCTTCATTAATTTTTTGAATACAACAAAAAACAAACTACATATTTCATCTAATTTTTTAATTTTATGAACTTCATTCACACATTATAATAAATTACCATTTCATTTTAGGTACATTTTTATCTGATGGCATTAACATTTGATAATCAAATCTGAAATCTACTAATAGAATTATTAATATTTTACAGTATAATTTGTGTGCTGTACTTGACTCTCTTGTATAGTAAATTGTATCATGACATAATCTATTATTTAATGACAATACCATCTTGGCTGTTTCTTTGTGTGTGCAGTAGACTTGCATTAACATAAATATTTCCTTTGTGACACACTGTTCCTTCTTATAGGAACATTAGTAACAGATGCACCTCACTCATCTAACCAATCAAATTAAATATAGTTGTATGTTAAATTTATAAATTACTTCAAAGATGTGTTTTTTTAAATTCACAAATTTCTATGCTCAAAATGATACTTTTATGTCAATTCAAGGAAGGTTATTTAAAAGTTGATTTTAATGGTTTTTTGATATTTTCGGTGGATAGTCAATCCTTAAAGCAGTATATTGAATATTGCAGTATTGTTAGCATTCATAATTTACTATGTGTATACATAATACATGTGTGTATAATGCATGTACAGTATCAAATAAAGCTCGAATAAGGTATAAATTTGCCAGATTTTCTTAATGTAGTTGATGTCGTCAATGACGACATGCTACATTGGCCTTCATCAGGTGTTACATAATAAACTGTATGAAGCTATAAAATTGTATAGTGTCATGTTATATATCACTGATTTTTAATAAACATTTCAAGCTAAGACTAACATTAACCTGAATACTTGATCCCTTGAGCAGCTAGCTCAGTAAGCTTGCTAAACTGGTGGTAGCCATTGTGTGTGCGCTGAACAGTGGAGATCTCTAGGTCCCCTGTTCAATTCCCAACTCTGTTTTCCTTGTGTTGTACAGCTAGAGGGCTAAAATACAAGTTACGATAATGCACCGCCTTTCAGATAAGACATTTAAGCAATTGATTCCATGTGTAATATGGTGCATGTGCGCGTTTCTTTGGAAGAGTAGGGGATTACATCCCGGTGTACTGCCCAATTCACCACTAGGATGACCCCACTGGAAACAAGTCTGATCTTGGTGTGATTCACACCGAAATATTCCTATCCATATCCCTGTTCATGCAACGTGCTGCCTCATTGGTTTAGTTGGTAAAACTATCAATCCATTATTCTCATGGGACAAATTTTCATACGAGGCTATTATCACTCCCACTTATAATTTTGTAGCGATATTTAACAATTGATAAATAGTATTTGGTAGTTGTCAAGCATTTCATATGTTTTGATGCTTTGATTTACAGTTGGCCCACACAAATAGATAATAATTATAATTATATGGTTATATATTATTTCATAATTTTTAATTTTAAAACAAAATGTTTTGATTGTCATTAATTATAATTAGATTTAACCTGGTATTTATATTATTATTATGATTGATATCTTAATTTTTAATTGTTTTTTTTGTTCTTATAAATTTGTTTCCATATTTCATAAAATGTTCATTTGGTTGCAAGATATATTTTGATTTTCGTATTGTCTGAGTTTCAACAAACTTTTAATGATTTTGCACTTTAATATTCTCTTACTTTCACATTCTAATGTTTATTGCATTTATATCCATTGTGTTTTACTTTCAGTTGTATTATTTATTAACTTGCTATTAATAATTTTTGTAATTATTGATAGTTGTCTTCCTCTTACAGTAGATCTCAGGCTTCAATCTTCTTTTATACTGTAGTACATGGTAAAGTTCCTTCATTGTCATCAATTTACCTTGAGGGCAGTATAACAAGCATCACAACTAAATGGAAATTGTGATCAATTCTAAATGACAGTGAATTGATTTACAGTAACTGCAAATCTATATTTAACTTGTATTTATTGTTGTTATGTAATTGATGTTACAGGTTCTGCAGATGTTTAAAGGTTGCAAGGCAGAGGATATGCCTCCACATATTTATGCCACAGCACAGACAGCCTACAAGAATCTACTTACCTCACGAATGGACCAGTCCATTATTTTTCTGGGGCAAAGTGGTAGCGGAAAGTCAACAAGTGCTAAACATGTAATCAGTTATTTGACTAATGCTGCTGGTTCAGTAAATAATTTTGTCACAGGTAATAAAATGTAATACAATCAAACATGATATACAGTATATAAAGTTTTCATTTTGTGTTTGTTTTATAACAAATAAGGGATGCAAGAAGGGGTTTCCATAATTTTTTACATTTTCAAAAGCATAAAAGGGGAAGGGACCTCCCACTCCCTTCCCCTAGAAAGAGCACTCAATGAAATGTTGATACCATATGTGTCCTTTTCAGATCATCAATATATGTTTTCATAAGAATACTTAATATACCTACACTTTCAAATCACTCCCCCCCCCCCCACTTTTAAATCACTCCCCCCCCCCCCCACTTTTGTGGCAGCCTGTGCTCTAATTGGCCAAAAATTAATTTTGTTTTTATTCGAAATCAACATTATTGGCGGCAGCAGGTTCGGTAAACAAGGTATAAAAAAATGTCTCACCTAAAACATACTGTATGTTTGGTACTCTTTTTAAAATTTTCATAATTATGGATGACCTCTAAATATTTATGTAATTAGTATTAGTTTTTTGAATGCTTATTTGATTTTTTTTTTTTATTAGCTGAGAAGATGCATGCTGTTTCGACATTATTAGAGGCATTTGGTAATGCACGGACCATTCAGAATTCCAATGCCACTCGCTTTGCCCAGGTCACTTCTCTGGATTACGACTACTCTGGTCAGATTGCTGCTGGATCAGTCCAGGTACTGTCACTTTAATTCTGCAATAAAAATGCTATCAAACCAAAGACTTTGTTATATAGTGTATCTTTCACTCACATAAAAGTTTGACAAAAATTTCTAGTGCCTACTTTTATTTTAAAATATTGATTGTCTTCATTCTCTGATGGTCGTTGAAAACGGATCATCCTGATCCCACTATCATATGATTGGACAACTCACACCTGATTTTTGTTTGTCAAACCATGGAGGATGGTTAGACTCAAAAGTGTATGTTCAGACTTGGTCAGAGCATGTAAAGATGGGCACTCGCTGCGCCTGACACAATTCAATGAAGAACGCCACAAGACAACTGATTGTTTTTAATGACGATCCATTCAGACTGCCACCGAAAATCAGATTCCGTTGCGTCTTCTAGCGCTGACATGGAGATGAGTTGGATTCGTTTTACGACCATTGTATGACGCAGAGATTGCGTAGTTTAATACCTGTTTCGTATCTGTCAACTTCATCAGAAAAACTCTGAACAAACTTGTCTATTGAGTCTGACAAACTAATTACACTGCAGTATTGAGTGCAATGCGTTTACTATTGGTGATTGTTGGTTCAGGATTTTGGAGTTGCTTTGGATTTTTAACGAAACAATGCATCATATTAATCTACTCAGTGGCAAGAACACAAAGTGTTCTTTGCCTTCATTCAGCATCTTGTATATTTCAACAAGGAAATTTATTTAATGTCAAAACTTGAACCTATGTGTTTTTTTCCTTTCATCATCAATCAAAAAAGAGCAAATTTTGCCAAAGAATGTCAGAATGCTTTCTCTTACCCATCTCCCAGCAATTCACCTTTTCACCCCAGCACAGTTTCTATTTCCCATTCGACAGTCATCAATTATACTTATAAAGTCTTTGTTTTTGAAACAATATCTAACGATCTTCCTGTGAAATTATGGTTTGTTTAAAGATACATATGTTTTATTTTTTGGAAGATTAGAAAAAAATATATAAATCTTACTTAATGAACAATATTGAGATCTTTAATTGTCATTTCTGTCTGGGGTGTACACACATTCTAACTTATAAAACCTGACCAATGAGCTTTTTAGAGTCATTATGTTTAAAACAGCAACAAGATTGAAACTAATTATAAGATTTTACTGCATGAACCTGGTCCCTGGATCCATACTATACCGTAACAGGCATATGGGAATGTGCAACTTACCTCTGCTCCCTAAGGTGCAAAAAATTGAAGTAGGCCTAGAGCTTATATAAATCATCCTGATATAGTTTTTTTTTTTATAGTAAAGTTTATGCACTTTATTTTTATGCATTTTAAGTTTTTCTTATATACTGTATTTATATCTCATATGAAAGAATTAGATTAATATATTTTCTTCATAGATTCTGATGCTAGAGAAGTATCGTGTGGTTAGAAGACCAGACGATGAACCAACATTTAATGTATTCTACCACTTATTGGCAGGAGCTGACACAGTCTTAAAGTGAGTACATGATATATCATTTGTTTTTCCCCTTTTTCCCAATGTAACATGGATGCTAGTGATGAATCATGTTTGTCAAGATTAAGTGTCATTTGAGTAGAGTACTTGAACCAGGCTCCTTAAAAGTGAAGAGAACAATTTTTTCAATGACACTCCTAAATCGAAAAAGTACTTCAATGACGTGTATTTAGAGTTTAACATTTTGGCAATTTCCTTATGTTCTCTGGAATGGGAAACGTTATTTAAAATTGATAACTAATAATTATTTACCGATAACTTTCATTTACTTTTATTTACCGATTCATTCAGTCATTTATCTGAAATTTCCAATGCCAACTGCTAACAATAAAAAGAGAAAGAAAAACTTTTTTTTCCAATTAATGGACATATAAAACTGTTCCTATTCTTTTACATTGACTCTTAAATTACCTGGAATTTATTTTTTGTTCAAAGTTGATAACTATTTGATTCTTTAAAAAGTGAGCAGTTGTAATTGAATTGTTTAGGTTTCCCAGATTTCACCATATATGGTATGTCCTACAACCTTTATATTTATTTTTTAATGATCATTTTTATTCCTGAACATGACCCAATAAAGGTTGAAACATTGAATCTGGAAATTATTTTTCGTTCAAAGTTGATAACTATTTGATTCTTTAAAAAGTGAGCAGTTGTAATTGAATTGTTTAGGTTTCCCAGATTTCACCATATATGGTATGTCCTACAACCTTTATATTTATTTTTTAATGGTCATTTTTATTCCTGAACATGACCCAATAAAGGTTGAAACATTGAATCATTGCTCCCTTACTTTTTAACATTTTTGCATTTTCACTGTAAACATAACCAGTTATTATCTGTATAACTTTTTCAGAAGGATTAATACATTTTGATTCTTATTTCTGTACTTCTATAGAAAAGAACTACATCTCAACCAGCTGTTTGACCAAAACTACTTCATTAATTATAAGGTGAGTATGAACAGGTAGCAGTGCTAGTTGGGCCCAGGAAACTTGACCGTCAGACAAGCCGAGCCCTAACACTGGCCAGAACTAATCAGTAATAGAAAATTGTTTTTGGTGTTTTTTTGGCATAATACATTGTATTATGTTAAATATTTCCCCCCTTTTTTTCCCCCCTGTTTTTGGCTGCCATTGAGCCTGGCCCCCCTGGACCCCACCATGGTTTCATACCTAGTCCGTGCTGGTGTACGTCAAAAATTATCACAGCCCACTGTCTCCTAGATCCACACCTAAAAAAACATGCATAAAAAGTTATATTGAAAGCAACTGGAATCAATCCTGTCATGCAATGTGAAGTTGTGCCACCAGTCACGCAGCCAATTTAAAAGGATGTGAAATTCTAGAAACTTACATCATCAGAGTGCAGTTTAAACGTCATGTTAATGGGTTTACTTCCCAGGTCTCAAATTATGTGGTTAGAACTTGTATTGTTATCCTAATCAGAGGCAATGAATAATGTTATAAAAATAAACACAAATCACATTAACAGCGTTAATTGAAAAAGATTATATTTGTTGTGTCAATCATGTGATTGGAATGTGTGATGTTGTGCGGTAATGTGATATTCATCATGTGACGTGATTATAGGATTACAGTATTTGACTCTTGATGTGTGATTATCGGTAAACTCATGGTTTCTGATGATATTTTCCAAGACGGGAAACCATAATAAGTTGTTTTTATGCACAGATCATAATTCTGTTAATTATAATCTGAAATTAAAAATGCATTAATAAAAACAGAAGTATTATTTTAAGTATTTATTCTATATTCTATTATTATAATTTATGATAAATATCTGTTTAATTTTCAAGGTAGTAAATTTTTAATTAGTAATTTTTATGCACAGCAAATAATTTATAAAAATTGTCAGCAAAATTTGACATGTGTATAAAAACTTAAGTATTATTGTATTATATCTATTGTTATTATTTTTTAATTTAATTTAATTTAGTTAGTTATTCAAAAATATTTTATGAGGATGACCCACTTTGCAGATCTTGTCTTGAAAATTAAATGACTGTCATTACAACAAAGACAATTTTGTAAAAAAATATTATATCAAATGAATATTACTATTATTATCATTTTTGTCATTTTTATTATTAATTATAATTAAAAATAATTTAAAAAAATATATATATTTTATACTTCATTCTGTATAGAGTATGACAGTGTTATGTCACTATACCATGTGATACTACTCCGTTGCTATTGTTGCAAAATGAGTTCAACCGGATGCCATTTTCCACACTAACAAACCATTGATCCCAATTTCAAACATAATTATTAAGATGTTGTATCTTTTTCTTTGTAAATTTTAATTGATGATTAAAATGTGTGTTTGATAACCAATATAATGCAAGCTTTTGTGTTTTTAGTACATTTTGATGGCAAAATATTAGATTTTAAAATGTATATTCCAGAAAGCCTATGAAGTCATTCAGGCATAATGAACAGTAACCAACGTCTGGTTGGCAACAGAGGGCGCTACCTAGCGTTGTGACGACACGACTGTAGTACTCTATAAGTATACTGTATTTTTGAATGTTATTATTCTGACAATTCAGTTTACAGATAAACAAGCAGCTTTGAATGGTTGGAACAAAGTACAAACTGCTTGCCAAATTCTAGGCTTCACACCTGATGAATGCAGAGCTCTGTGGAGTGTTGTTGCAGCCATCATACATCTCGGAGCAGCTGGAGCAATGAAAGGTAGTACAATCATAATCTTTTTGTTCTCATCCTCACAAATATCATCAACGGTTTGGGTCAGCAAATGTTATCAATTCTCCATCCGGTTTTTGAGGACCTGATTTTTGCTCTCCATTCTGTTGTTAACTTCGTCCACCGATTGTCAGTGGTTCTGGCAAGGTACCCTTTTCCATTTCTTGATTTTAACTTGTTGAATTTCCTCCTGAAATTCATTCTCTTCATTATCATAATTTTTGTTATTATCACCATCATCTTTGCCACTGATGTCATCATCATCATACATATTGTTTCTTAGACACTAATTTTATTTACTGATCTCTAAATCATCATCATCATCATCACTTTCATATTTATTACTGCCGTTTGCATCATCAGTATCATACACATGATCATCCACATCATCACTATCATCATCACCATTCCTAATATCACCATCTCTGTTATTTTCTAAATTTTTGCTTAGCACAATGATGCTGTTAGTTATGGGTATTCTCCTACCTTCCTGTTTATCCTTCTGCTGTCATCAAAATTGTTGTCTTTTCTCTGTGCTGGTGCACATAATCATCATCTTAATATATTATTGAAACCTGTGAAATCATATAATCATTATTTGTCATACATCACTATACAGTACTTATTTTCATTATCAATTTCCATCACACTTATATGCAAAAAACATATTCCAAAAACCCTGCTCCAGTGTCATCAATGTTATTAATTATTCACCTATGACCTTCAGGTGCAGGAAGTGCCCGTTCACAGTTCTCTAGGCCAGCTGAAGCCCAAAAGGCAGCCAGTGTCCTCGGAACATCTCTGGAGGAGCTAGCAAGGAACACCTTCAACCCAAAGTTGGGAGGAACCCCAACCAGAAGCCCATTAGCTAGGAATCTTACAGAAGGCAGGGAGTCACCATCTGGAGATAGCAGCAATTCAACAGCAGTGGAGGCCCTCCAAGGAATGGCTGTTGGGCTTTACCAAGAATGTGTCAATGCGCTTGTGTCTATGATCAACAAGTGAGTATGATAAAAGTTTATAGAACGCAATTCCTATCTCAAACAAGTACTACCAAAAACTAGAGGACGTCCTTCAAAAGAACGTAAAAGGTGTTCGTAAATAGGGCTTCCCCTATCTTTTGGTAGTACTTTTTTAAACATTTCATTGCGTGCATACAAAATCAGGGCAGTCAGAACTCTTGCAATTCTAAAATCTTTGGTATGATGCAATTCTGAAATTAAATAACCATATATAGGATATAAGCTATTAAAGCTTTATTATCTTTGATAAAATCTAGAAAACCCTTAATAATTGAATTAAAACATACTGTATTATCACATGAAAACATAAAAGCTTGTCGACTCTTAACGAGTCACATGTTCTTAAGTTGTTTATCTGCCAACTTACATTTCTTTATTATAATAGAGAAGTGGTATTGTTTATACATCTGGTTTTTGGCAAAAAAGGCTATTTTTTGTTGTACCTTTGAATGAAAAGTTATTAAATTTAAATAAACAAAGAAAACATTTTAAACTTTGCCCAGAATGTGAAAACTACAAACTTCATACAAACTCATACTTCATTCCTACACATTTTGTTTCTTGGACCCTAATTTTTTTTAATGATCTCTAAATTTTTAGCATTTTTTGAAATAAATAATTTGACTATTTTTGTAATAAAATGCATTTTTTAACTACTTAGGAAATTATCAAGTACATATCGCACTGTAGCTTCCATACTGGTGTTGGACTCATCTGGGTTCCAAAACCCTGCATCGATGGGTCGCAGTGAAGGAGCAAGTTTTCAGGATTTGTTCAGCAACTATGCTCAGGAGCGTCTACAGCTACTCTTCCATGAATCAACATTCACCTCTCAACATGATAGATATGCTCAGGTATGTGAAATTATTTTATTAATTTTGGCACAGCGGTAGGGCTTCAGGTTTGTGATCAAGAAGTTGTGAGTTCATGTCCGATGCTGATCATGTTGCCATTTTTTTGCATTCTTCAGGAAAACATCGACTTAGGGTTTGATGAGCAAGAATCGACTCCAGCAGCAATGGTTCAATTGATAGACAGACAACAAGTTGTAAGTTACCAATGGTTTCTCCTCTTCTTCCTCCTTTTCTTTATCCTCCAATTCTCCTCAGCTGTCTCTTCCATCTCTTCTTTTTCTTTTTTTCCTATTCTTCCTTCTCTCCCACTTTTTCTCACGATTTATCTTTGATAACGAAGAGTAGTAGAGTGAGTTATTATAACCTCTCTCTTCTGTTAGATTCGTACTTCGGCTCAAGATGGAGGCGATCCTAAAGGGTTGCTATGGCTACTAGATGAGGAGTCAATGTACCCCAGTGCTTCAGATGATTCCTTCAGTGACGTTATCAATTTAAACTACGATGAAGAATCAAAAAAATGTAAGTTGTATATTGTTCAATGTACAGTATATCACATTTTTCCATAGGCCACATAGTTTATTCTTTTATTTTTTTAATATATATAATCTCCTTTGCTGAATATTTCCTTATAAGCAATTAGAATAGTTGAGTGTCACACACTAGTGGAAATCGTTATACAAAGGTTAGATTAATTTATTTTAAAAATTCTGCATGCGTGCGTAGCAGTACTAGGTGTAAAATAATAATAATAATGATAATAATAATAGTAAGTAACACTAACACTAATAACACTAGCCTAGAATTTTTTGAAGTGTGTGATATGGCGAAGTTCAATTGGCCATTTGCACACAAACCGAAAAAAAAATATAGCACTAATGAAAAATTAGTTTACAGTTGGGGATAGGAAAATGAGTTACATTGGTGTTGTCACAATTGACTTATAATTTGTATTATCTTATGTTTCTTAGTGGATGGGCTTATTCGCACAGGCAGTGAAAGGTACACATTTGTGCTTAACCACTTACTTGGTAGTATTTCAGTGCAGTATAACTTTAAGAATTGGATCAAGTCCAATCGAGAAAATCCCTCAGCCAAGATGGCTACTTCACTCCTACAAGACTCTCAAAAGTAAGTAAACTCAAGTTGAGGGAATAAGGTTTGCTGGGTTGATTTTGAACTTCAACTATCTTTGCAATATGGTGACTTGAATCTGTAGATGGTTTTCGTGAATGGGGGTAGGGTGCTAAATATCCATTCTCTTGATAAATTCTTTGTAGATATTAAAACAAATTTCTTTGACCAGAAGTTCTATGTTGGTCTCTTCAAACCATAATATTATTAGTTCTAATATTTTTTTTTAATCTTAAAGAATTATAATATGAATAATAGTTGGCTGTGAGTCATATTACCTCATGTAATTCCTTAGTGTTTGATAAGTTAATTTAATACTTTTCTTGTAATTAACCATAATACCTTCTGTATATTGTCACATTCATTGTAGAAAAAACATCAGTAGCCTTTTTATAGGCATGTCGGGATCACTTCCTGCAACAATGATGGGTTCTGTTGCAGGCATAGAAGGTGCTTCATCCCTTCGCCGGGCCTCAAGTATACGCCGAGCCTGGACGAGTGGTACTGCCGCCATCAAGAGGAAATCAGTATGTCTTCAAGTCAAGTTCCAAGCGGTAAGGTACTCTTGAATTGCTAGATGGCTTATTTTGGATTGCTACTTTGTATAGAAACAACATGTCTTATTTTGTAAAAGTATGCTGTCTTTGTAGGTTGTAAACTCAATCCATGCTCATTTAACACTAAATGTGATAAAAAATGCATAAAATGCTGAGACAAATATACTATTACAAGTCTCCCTCCAATTAAAGACCACCTTTTGGACTGGGGTTTTCGTAGTCAGGTTTGGTCTCTCATTAGAATAATAAAGATAAAGAAACTTGTTAATTTGTGGCCACAGAATAATGGTCTTTAATTGGAGGTGGTCCTTAATTTGAGGGGTCTTTTAAAAGAAGGAATGAAATAAAGACCTGTTGATTATGTTGCACTGTACAACATGACCTTAAGTTCAATTGAGCCAGCTTTGTATGACCCAGCCTGATGTGGGCTCATCCCATTGTAGAATATTAATCATGCTTAGTAGTTCTCAAATGACTAAAAGACTGTCCCTGATGCAGTCTTACGGCAACCCATCGCGTCTGCGAATCATCCAACATACCAATAAATTGTGGTGGACTGATCATATGAAGCTGTCTGTGTTGTCTTTTAGATTCTTTTACACATACGAGCAAAACATCCGTATTTAAAGGTAACTCGCAGCATCATTGTGCTGAATTGGCGTGGTCCATGACTACTTAGCTGCCGTAAAGACACGCTTATAGTAGCTACATGTTCACATCATTATAAAATGAAATGAACCATTATTTATATTAAATTATATATGATATATATTGTACTTTTTTAGGATGGTCTATTGGACAGTATTAGGAGAACCAAACAGCATTTTGTTCAATGTATTTTACCTAAGAATGATGCTGGTCTAGTTGAGACAAGGAACAACTCTAACAAGTCTTCCAGCCCACATGGATTCACTGACCTTCCACTGGACATCCCACTCCTTGTGGCCCAGCTCAAGGGTCTTGAGGTCATAGAAGCTACAAGACTCTACAGACAAGGTATGAGATACTTGGAAATGTCTAATCATTTCAAATACGAAATCAATGAGATATGATTCAATAGTCCAATATTACAAGTAAAAGAAGTTACCCCCTCAATCTATTTCTGAAAGAGATTAGGCTCCACATCCAGTAGTATACTATAGTTCTGTGTGTGTGTGGAAGGGCTGGAGACTATAAGTAATCAAAGTAAATTGAAACCATCTGTTGAGCCATTGGTAGCTTATATATGACCTTGATCTAGATGTTAGAATTGTTTCATGCTTCTGTTGGTTTATTAGAGATGCATTAATTTCAATTTTATAAGAACAAATCGCCTGAAATTTCATTAAACAATAAAGTGATTATTCTATGTTACTTTGAATATGAATCATTGGTAGATGCTACACCTTGAACAAATATTTCATTCAGACTCCACTAATGATTTTACAATTGAATTGTTGTATACTACTGTACCACCCTAAACTGACAATGAAGTGTCTTTTAGTGGAACATTTTGTAAAGGTGTTTTTCAAAATTGATAGAAAACCATCAAGACATGATCAGTAGTTTATCTTTAAGGCCGATGATTTTCTCTTTTAAGTGTGTTTTTCAGACATAATTCAAGTATCTTACACTGATTGTACCATGAACTTGATTCAAAGACCAAAATATATCTAACAATTTAATCTATTTGAATATATCCACAACTCATTTTACATGTTTGGTACCAAAAGTTCAAAGTTTGTGATTACACCTTACATTGTTGGTCCGGATTGAACCCATAACCTCGTTCTTGAATCAAGAGCATTTTAACCGCAAAACCACATGAATGATTCATTTCCAGACAAAAATGATAAGAATTCATGAAAGTTCACTAATATTTGTGTCAGTTGAGATTTTTTGGCATTGGATAATATCCATGTAATTAGTGTTAGCTGGCTAGTTGAGATGTGAATCATATAAGTAGCTACAGCCCTCAATACTGAGATACTTTAGTAACGAGAATAGGCCGTTTCAACATTCATCACAAGATGGATATGCTTACAACAAATATATTCTTTTGTATGTTCTATTTAAGCTCTGTTGATTTTAGTCTTTACTTAAATAACTATTATAATTATATGTAAAATTTGTATGATTAAGTTCTTTATTTTTTGTGTTCCTGATCAGGTTTCCCAGAAAGTATGATGTTTCCAGAATTCCGGAGGAAGTTTGATATCCTGGATGTCAGCAGTGAGAAGACAGAACCTATCCTGGATGAGAAGAAGGTAAGCTAACTGGACGTTATTTAGTGATATACTGTCTAAAATAAATAACTTGAAAAATTTATTCAAACCTTGAATTAAGGAGTTATCAATTTCTAATAAATCTTGTACAGTAATACAGAAAACACTTTTGGATGGTTTATTAAGTTTGGTCTCTAATTAAAATAATAAAGATAAAATAATTTTTTAAAATTTGGGACAACAGAAAAGTGGTCTTTAATTAAAGGTGGTCTTTAATTGGAGGGGTCTCTAATTAGAGTGGTCTCTAATTGGAGGGATCTTTAATTGGAGTGGTCTCTAATTGGTCTCTAATTGGAGTGGTCTCTAATTGGAGTGGTCTCTAATTGGAGTGGTCTCTAATTGGAGTGGTCTCTAATTGGAGTGGTCTCTAATTGGAGTGGTCTCTAATTGGAGTGGTCTCTAATTGGAGTGGTCTCTAATTGGAGTGGTCTCTAATTGGAGTGGTCTCTAATTGGAGTGGTCTCTAATTGGAGTGGTCTCTAATTGGAGGGATCTTTAATTGGAGGGGTCTTATTCAGACGGAGTTCTATAATGAAAAATAATAAAGATACCCAGATTTCAACAACCCAGTTTTAGATGATTTACAAGTTTTACTAGGAACAATCTTTTAATTATTACTATCAATTCAATTGTGTGAATACTTGCCTTGATAAACGGATAAAAGCCAAGTTACCGTGTGGACAAAATATAATAGTATTATTACAATATTCTTGAAGGCTTACATGGCAAACATGGTGTACCGAAAGTTTAATGATTTTGTTATTACAATATTACAATACATATGTTAATATATTTATACCAAAATCATAAATTGAAATATTTAATTTCAATTTGCAAATATTCTTTGCTGTTGAATTAAATTTTTAAAAGTATGTTAATCAACTTGTTTTTCTTGTTCAGGCTGTTGAAGAATTACTACAGTGCTTAGATGTTGATGCAACTAGCTTCCGTATTGGGCTTAGTCAAGTAAGAATGTTTCTAATTCATGTTTGTGTGTTATAGAAAGTTTTTAAAATAATACTTATCAACGAAACAGTGCTACAATCAATACTATATTCTAGTATTACGAGAAATAGAAATACTGTCATTTCAGAAAATACATTTATAAAATACAGTTATTTGATAATAATATACATTAATAGAAATTTCTTAGAATACTGAAGTTTCTCATTAAGAAGAAATGACATGCTCTGGTAGTGAAATGTGGTCATAGGATCTTATCGAACTTACTGGGAATTTACTGTAGGCAATCACGTGAAAGTAATGACAGCACATTTAATAGTGACATTAGCACATTAAATAATGAAATTGGCACATTGAATACTGACATCACTGATAAGCATTTTCCTAATGTACATGTGCTTGATAATGTGTATCTAAACTTTAGTATATTAATGTTACTGCCTGAAGTAGTTTTAAAATGTTGTCATATGTCCTATCTACAACCAGTCTATAAAATGTGAAAAAAAAAATCTCAATTTTCCATCAAACCTATTGGAAATTTACTTTAGGTAATCACATGGCGTAGTGACATCAACACATGAAATAATGACATCAGCACATTATATTGTGACATTAGCACATTAGATAATGACATCAGCACACTGGGTACAGACATCATGTGCTTGATAATATTTATCTAAACGTTTCTATCTGCCAGAAGGTGTAGCAATACAAATTAACTTTTTGTTTTCTAGGAAACATTTAAAAATCAGGTTTTTTGGAGAAAAAGCACCTTTATAGGGATTAGGTCATTATGTGATTGTTTTATTAAAGTATTATTAAAGTTTTATTAATGTAACAGCCAATCAGGGCTGTTACTTATTGGTCATGAGTTATAATGCACTATATTTATATCTTATATCAGTTAGCTTAATTGCCAACCCTGGCTTCATTCAGGTCATTTACCTTTGTACTTGGTATCATTGTTTGTAAGTTAATTATTCACAATTGCCTTTCATTTACAATAAGATTGTAATAATATACAAACACTGCAACCTAAGAGGACATTGTTGCTTACAGTATACCAAGTTTCTTTTGTACTTTTTAGGAGGAAGATACTCAATATGGATTACAGTTGTCCCATCTGGGCCCTCTTCATAAAATGATGAATTTTATATGTAAACACCTTAAAAAAAATGTTGTGTCTCTAACCATGAACATGATCTGAATGAATATATTACACTCTAGTTTATTAGTCATTGGATAGCTGATGTTAAACTGTTGCATGTATTATGCAGCCATGCATTCAGCCATTCCAAGAGTAAGTTAAGTAGTCAATTATTTGGTAATTTAAACTGGAATGGAAACCTATGAATAGAATTAAATGGTACAGTACCTCTGGCTTAAATTCCCAATGAAATGAATGCACTTTACTCACTTTACAATTCTGTACTTCTGGAAGATTGCTCCAATGATATTCTTCTTGGAATTGCATTCATGATTCATGATTCGTATTTAGCAAGTTGAATACTATTAGGTTTGTACTCTAATTATTCTATTAAAATTAGACCTCAATACATTATACGTAATTAGTAAAATTTTTATTACAGTAGAACTTCGTTTTTACGTACCCCAGTTATACGAACCCTCGGTTTTACATACGCCTATTATTCTTCTCATTATTTCTGTTAATGTTGGAACGTATATTATAATTTTTACCATTTGAGCAAAGTCACATTTAAGAGTTGTTAAATGCTCATCATTTGAAGTCTTCCGAAGCAGTTGAGTACACAAGTCAACAGGAAACAGATTGTGTGTTCTCGATGGCTTATTGTCATTTAAAAACAAAATTGATTTTGTCTGGTCCCTTGGTGTATTGATGTTTATCTGCATATTGTGATTGTTGGAAAATTCAAAATCTGCAAAAACAGGTGTATAATAGTAGATGGTTAGTGAATAATTAATTTGTGCATATTTACTTTTTGCAAAGAAAAAGTCCTGTCTATGGATTATATTTAATGCTTGTTAATATCACTGCTAACATCATGAAGTAATCTTCTTCTGATTTTGTATTTTGAGTGTTTTTTCACTAAGTGACTTTAGTGTTATGCCTCTCTAATTATTTTGAAAAGAATTTATTTTGATTAATTATCTAAAATGGTCAGGTTCATATACATATAGAATTTAATTATACACATCATTAAACAACCGAAACAGGTTTATACCACCATCACCACTACTAAACCACACTCACTAGGCAGTGGTGAAGCATCAGAAGCACAAGATAGGTAGGTAGGTTGATTCATAGGTACTTAGCTTTGTTTTTCCTTGGTTTCAGGTAAAATATAAATTTAAGGAAAAAATCAGGTAATTAATACACTTTGAATAGAAGTCTAGACTTCCTAAAGCCAGACACACAATGCACCCGACGGTTGCGTCAGCTGACGAAATTCTGTGGAGAACCGCAAAGCCTCTATGTGTGTCCAATGGATTGTTTTTAATGATGATCCATTCAAACAGCCACCGAAAACAAGTAGACAAGTAGGAGCGAAGTTAGATATGTAGTTGTACGGTGCAGTGATTTTCCCAGGGTTACAAAACACTGCAAATGGCAGCAAAACTACCTCAAGTTAATAAAATTAAAAAGCAAGATTATTGAGTTTTGGTATATATTATTATAGTGAGGATATTTAATTTCTATAAAAAAAGAAATTAGAATTGTTCTATGGCCTGACGTTTCTGATCATTTTGGAACTTTGTTTACATTATGCTAAATAAATAACAAATGTATTTTTATTCCATCATAGTACAGTACTTATTTACTGGTTTTAGGGTTTATTTTGAAGAGTTTAGTGGGCATAGGTTGTTTTTTCCTAGTAACTTCCTCCACTACCAACAGTAATGCTATGTGAAATCCAATACCATTCCCACTCAGGTGGCCATCTACGTACCATAGCTTAAGCAATTCAGTAACACCGGACCCTTATAAAGAAAGAACACATCCAATGGATGATGAAATATATAGAATGCAACACTTCAGTAAACACTTGCAATCAATAGCTTACTACAAAGAAAACAGAGTAGAAATCAACGTTTAAGTAAACACTTCACACATCAGCAAATATACCCAAGAAGAAGCAAACAAACACCTGTGAGTACACACACAGTGTTTCCCACTTGCCTGCTTGTGTTTGTATTCCTCAGAGGTCTAGTTTATATCTGGATTTTGGGGTATTTTTGTGTAAAGCTAAATTTTGTAATCTAGTTATTTTCTCTATATGATGTAACGTGGCATCATTGTTGCCATTTGTGGTACAGTATTCACAATCCAAGCAAGAGTTCAGCCATCTTGCTGATGCGTTGTAGCAGGAGTGAATCGGTGCCTTAGTCAATGTGCTACAGTAGACGTACACATTGCCATTTGCTTTAGTGTGGTACAGTATTCACAAGCCTAGCCAGAGTTCAGCCATCTTGCTGATGCGTTGTAGCAGGAGTGAATCTGTGCCTTAGTCAATGTGCTACAGTAAACGTACACATTGCCATTTGCTTTAGTGTGGTACAGTATTCACAAGCCAAGCAAGAGCTCAGCCATCTTGCTGATGCGTTGTAGCAGGAGTGAATCTGTGCCTTAGTCAATGTGCTACAGTAGACGTACACATTGCCATTTGCTTTAGTGTGGTACAGTATTCACAAGCCTAGCCAGAGTTCAGCCATCTTGCTGATGCGTTGCAGCAGGAGTGAATCGGTGCCGTAATCAATGTGCTACAGTAGACGTACGCATTTATGTCATGTTTGTCCTTTGATGTGATATCATTCTTGCCATTTGCTCAATATTATGAGCCAAATTGTTCAGCCATCTTGCAGATATGTTGCAGCAGGAATCAATAAGCGTCGCAGCCAGTGTGCCACTGTGTTGCAGCACCCATCCGTTAGTGTTGTAGTTGTGAAAATATGGAAATGTAGTGTTAACTGTATGATTGTAGGTTTTTAGTTCAGTAAGACAGCTTAAGCTATTCTGTAGTGATAAAATGGGGATTTACATTGCATTAGTATTTTTTATTTCCTAGCATTAATTGTGTGTGTTTTATTCATGGAAAGTAATCTAACTCAAGAATTTATACTATTGGAAAGTAGATTGGTTTCTATCTTTTATTATTATTTTAAAATTATGAATGTAAGAGCTATTGTTAGGTTTTTCTCCATAGCAAGTCCAGTTTTGCTTGTTTGAGAAGCTGCACTTAATTAGATTGGTAACCAGTACTTGATAAATCTCCATGGTGATAATAAGTTGACAATTGGTTAATTATCACACTTTATTGAATGAGTCTTAGTAATGAGTCAGCATGCATTAATTTTAGCTTAACTTATGATTTAATGATGTCATCATCACTAATTCATCATACTTGTAACATGGTGTATTCTATTGTGTACAATTTACATCTTTCTTGTACACCATGCATGTATTTTATTGTCAATTTTAATGAGGCGGTAAATTGTATTGCAGTTTTCATCACACCATATTTTGAATAGTCTTTAGATCCAAGTTGTGGAATATAACTCGGATATTATATTACCAACACCTATTTCATGCAGAGGTGTGAAGATTATATTTCGCTGCTTAGATTTTGGCTGGAATCTGAAGAATTTTAAGCTGAAACTTGTTAAGCTGCTCTTGCGTTGTTTGTTGCCATAGTAATATGTGTGTGGAATGAAGATAGTGGACAAGGTTGATCACGGTTTCCTCCTTAGTCTAGTTCTTGAGGTGAAATTCAAGTGGGGTTACATCTACTGAAGCAGTTTTCACATGAGTTTTGTTTAGCATATACCTTGAAACTTGTTCCAGATTAGTGTCAGTTGATACTATGCCATAGGCCTATTGGTTATATATGGCAAGCCATGGAACCACACCAACATGGCACTGTTTATGTACCTTCTAAGTGTTATCGTAGTGAAATTAAGGTAATTTTGTTTGAATTTTTTTTTTTTTTTTCAAGTTTATAGGCATTGGTTTTATTTTATGTAAAATAATAATAAAGGTTGTTATAAACAGATTTGATCTTTTTTTTTTTCCTTTCTCAAGGCCACCAGTCTGTTAAATTCCCAGGTTCTCTTCAATTTTCAATTTGAGTATGTGTGTGAACATCTTTATGACTTTATTGATTTGCTTCCTCTTTCAGATTTTCTTCCGTCCTGGATCTTTATCACGTCTCGAGGAACAACGTGATGACAAACTGAGTGACATAGTGACTGAATTACAAGCTCGCTGTCGAGGTATCATAGCCAGGAGGAGACTAAAGCAGCTAAAGGTGAGAAACACATTTGATTGTCATTATAAATTTCAATTATACAGAGCTACGGATATTTATGGGAGTTTAGTACCCGATTCACATAAGGCAATATGTTACAAACGAAACATGTACTAGGAAAAACTTAGCTTACGTTCCCTGCTTCATTGTATTTGTGTGATGGCAAATGCTTGTAAAAACCTTCATTCATACCCAAATGTAACCAAACTATGCATTCTGTGGTACGATCTTAACTCCTTTATGGCCCTAGTGACCTGCATACCCCAACCTAATCAATCATGCATTCTGTGGTATGATCGTTAGTCCATTATGGTCCTAGTGACCTGCATACCCTAACCTAACCAAATCATGCATTCTGTGGTATGATGGTTACTCCACTAATGGTCCTAGTGACCTGCATACCCCAACCTAATGTGCATTCTGTGGTATTATCGTTAGTCAATTTTAGCCCTAGTGACTTGTATACACCAACCTAACCAAACTATGCATTTGCATAGCCCACTATAAGGAACCTGTTGATATTTGGATGGATACCTTACTTCGCTGAGGTTGTAATAATCCCCAAACTGCACCGTAATCAAAAAGTAATGTTACTCCTGACTAAAGGCCATTTTCCACTAGTCGTATTTATTTGCGCGAATAAAAAATGTTTACCCATACGCATGCGCAATTGAGAATCTTACGATGAAAATTAAACTGCGTATAGGTCAAAATTTTTGATTCGTGCGAATAAATTAATCTAGTGGAAAATGGTCTTAAGGTCTTACTGGCCCATGTGTAAACATTTTAACATACTCCCAGAAACTGATTTGATATAAATGTGCTTGATCCTGACCTTTGTATGTTTGTATTCATATTTCTTTAGATTCAGCGACTGGCTGTGACTTGCGTTCAGCGCAATGTAAGAAAGTTCATCAAGGTACAAGCTTGGCCATGGTGGCGTCTGTATACTAAGGTTCTACCACTTCTAGATATTCATCGCACCGAGGAGGAACTCAAGATGAAAGATGTAAGATCAATGTCCTTGCCTTACTATTATATAGATAGGGGAAACTGTTTCTTCTTATAGATAGGGGAAAAAATTATAAACCAAATACATTATAAAGGTAGTGACGAAATTGTCTTAAAGCACTAATTAAAAATTTATATTTTATAAAAATGTTTTTATTTTTTTTTATTTTTAAATATTTAAATAAATGGGTTTAAAATAATTTCAAAAATTGTATGTTTTTTAGCATTAACAGTAACTGTATTCATTGATTTTTCTACTTTGTATATTGAAGTAAGTTAGAATGAAAAAACATTTACCTTGCCTATTAACAGACGGATTGATACCATATTTACTAATTATCATTTAAAAGAATTGACTGTTTCACTAAAATATTTGAATGTTTTAATTTTCTTCTGTAGATTGAGTTGGACCAACTTAAAAACAAGTTTGAAAGAATTGAGAAAGAACGAAACATATTCAAGGAAAATTTTGAAAAAATGGAATCTAAGGTAATATTTCTTTTATTGTTATTATTTAATATCCAACAAAAATTGATTCATTACTTACAGAATGGAACCAGCTTAGTCCAATTTAAGGCTTAGGAGGTAAAGTTGATTGTGAGAAATATTCTAATGCTTTTTATTTCTTTTATAAATTATTTTGTGCATATTGGCCAAGTGTTAATAATAGTGAATTTAATCACTGTCTAAGTAGCAACCTATTTCACAAGACAAACATGTACACAAAATAAACCAAGTTTTGATTATCAGGCTTAGGAAGTGGAGATGGTTTGGTCATGAGAAAAAATATTTTGTGTTTTTATCTGAAGTTGAATGGAACGCTAGATGAGTGAAAGAGAAAGATGCTAAATTTAAAAAAATAGATCATTTAAGTTGAAAGGAAAGGAAGTTTAAAACTACTGGAAGAGTTTATATTTCATTTTTTTCTTCTATATGTAATACCATTCAGTGTTATACTTAATAGTCGACAATTGTTTATATTTTTTAAGATGTCTGAAATGTCAGCAGATTTAGCAGAAGAGCATGCGACTGCTAACCATGCTACAGAAATGCTAGAGGCAGAAACGGCAGAGAGGCTTAGACTTGAAAAAGAACTTAAGGAATTAAAGGTAAGTTCGTATTCATCAATTAAGCAAATTTCCCAAGGATTGAAAGATTTTTCCTAAGATAGTATTTCTTTAAAGTCAGGCTCCGAGGGAAAAAAATTTGTTGATATGTTGTAGAACTGATTTTTCTAAGACAGAAAAAAGTTGTTTGACGAAAAACTGGGGAACGGTTTTTTTTTCTCAGAAAAATCAGTTCTACAACATATCAAAAATTTTTTTTCCTCTGGAGCCTGACTTTAAATAATTTAAATTGTTGATGGTTTTTACATAAATTGTGTATTTTCATTTAAATACAGTAGAAGTTCTATTAAAGGGACACCTTCAGGATCGTAAAAGCATCCCATTAATAGGGATGTCCCCTGAATAGGGGTTGGCAGGGCTATAATGTATATTTTCCCTTGCTTAGCAGCCAAAAGTGTCCCCTGAATGTGGGTGTCCTCATAATAGGTGTGTTCCAAAGAAGGGCCTCTACTGTAATAAATCAAAAGTAATGAATGTCACTATACCTGTCTCTTATACACATCTAGATGTGTATAAGAGACAGTATATATATGGCGTGCCATCCCAAAACTAGCATCAGTGACCGAAAAATGAAAATTTACTTTTTAATATATTCATATTCTCCAAATGATATGCTTTAAAATGAGGGGTCATTTACTAGGATCGACTTACTATTGTCAAATTTATGAGTAACGGTATTTCAGCTTCTCTGTACTAAAGTATACAATATTGCCACGTTCTTATGCTAATTACTCAGTTCAACATTTTAGTGGCAGTACGCTGGTTTTGGGATGGGAAACCTCATATACTTGTATGATATTGTAAATGTAATATACAAAATAAATTCCAACCAATTATTTGTGTTTAATGTATAAAACACAAACAATTAGAAAATATTTTTAAATTATTGATATTAGGCCATTCTTTTTTTTTTAAATATATTTACTAATATTACATATTTTTTTGAATGACTGTGCTTTGTGTGGAAGAAACACCCTTTTAGTGATTTCTACTGCTTTTGTTACATGGTGTTTTTGCCTTGCTTTGATGTTTACTGCTAAAATTTTAAATATTTATATAAATAGTATGAATATGTTAATCTATAATTGTTGATTAATATTGTAATTGGTTATTTTGTTAATCGATTGATTATAGGCAGCACATTCCAGTTTGCAACGTAAGATGGAGAAAATGGAGATGGAGGTAATGGAGGCAAGGATGGTGGTTCGGACATCCTACATGGACCCTGATTATGACAGTGAAGAGGAAGAAGAAGGTATAATATTCTGCAACCATCTTATAATACAGGGGCGGATTTAAGCATGTTTGCTGTCTCTTATACACATCTAGATGTGTATAAGAGACAGCTTTTGAAAAGTCCAAAAAAAAAAAAGAAATAAGATAAAGAAAGAAAAAGGAAACATTGATCTCCCAAAAGGCCTCAGAGGTAATTTCGGGCGTCTAGAACACAGAAATTTGGTAAGGGCATTCCCCCGGACCCCCTAGGGTATTGTTATGTTGATCAGCCCCACTTTTTTTGGTCACTTTTCCTCCCTCTCTCCCTCTCCCCCCCCCACACCATTTTAGCCATCTCTGGATCCGCCCCCGTGATAGGTTGCTAATAATAGAAATATAATAATGACGAACTAATGACAACTTTCAAATTGTCAAGGGACATATTACATACCCCTCCTTCCAAACAGGGTTCATAAATGAGAAAATTCGTAAGTTCAAGTTTTCAGCGTCTCAGTGTGGTGAGGGACAGCCTTGGCCATGCTGCCAAGTACAGGGCTAAATAGGCCCAAGGCTTGCCATGGGAGAAAAATCACGAAAATATTACTTAGATTTTACTGTTTCTGCAACAAAATACTGCTTTACAGAAGCCAAAATTACCTGTGCTCACTGTGTATTCAAGTATTCATTTGAAGTGATTTCTGAATGAAAGCAAATGAGAAAGATCGTTAAGATCGCGAATCCATGTAATAGCCCCCCCCCCCCATTATCAAAAAGTGAGAATTACTGTACAGTCAGTGTTGGCACTGTGACAAATGAAAATTATGCCATTGGCTGGAGTAAGATTATGCTACATGTACTATGCCTCAAATAGTAGATATATACACGGCTGCCGTGTGTTTAACTAACATTTTGGTACTTAGATACACGGCAGCTGGGTACGCAGTATTTAAGATGCTTGGAAATGGCACTTTTTTGTAATTTATGTTTCTAAAATGTAATGGAATTTACATTATTTCCAAATGACTTGTGACCTCAACAATTTACCTTTCATTTAATATGTTCATTGATATTACAAACATATTCTAATAAAGATTTAAAGAAAGAGGGTTATTTATCAGAGTATAGAATCACTAAACATTCTTATTGATTTAAGTATTATTTAACAAGACACTTTTTCTAATAATTTTATTAATACATTTCTTTATAGACTCAATTTACAGGCAGAAATATGAAAAGTTAAGAAGAGAAATGGAGATGATGAAGAAACGTTTACAACATGAACATGAAGAAGAATCAGAAAAACAGTATTCCATTAAGAAATCTCTTGAAAAACAGGTCAGTAAACCAATGCGTCTTGTACAAATAAATAATTTTGTTTCACGTGGCACTCAAAATATTTTTCCAGAACAGTAAACCATTTCCCAGATCAGTAAATGAGCATTTTTGGGTCAGTAAATTTGTTTTCCTTGGTGAAGGCATATTTTCCAGTATGTGTAATATTTTCTTATTAAACAAACGTTATACCATTTGATCTTTCTAACTGTATATGCACATATTATAAAATACTTAATCATTTTCTTTTGAAATTCAGTTAGTAGAATCAAATAGAGATATTGATGATTACAAGAAACAGATACAAACATTAAAGAAGAAGAGTCAGAAACAAATGCAAGAGCATCAGGACCTTCATCTACATCTTGAGTCACAACAAGCACGTAATAACGAACTAGAAAAGAAACAGAGAAAGTAAGGAAAATTTGTATTTAATCAATCTCATCAAGCTATTATTGGCTGTCGGTAAATGCTTTTGCAATAAATGTTTATTTTTATCGAATTGCTACCTTGAAGGAATGGAACATTGAGTTGAAGTAGGAGTATTGATTGTGTTCAAAGAGTGCACCATTGACTAATAGCAGGGTGGAGCACATAGTGCTTCTCTGAAGTGGAGCATTGAATACTTCCTTTACATCGAGCAGAGCCCTGCGTGCTTCTCTTCTGATTTATTTGCTATGGTGTAAATGTTTTTCAGGTTTGACAATGAACTACACAAAATACAGGCAGAAGGACAAAAAGAAAGAACACAGCGAGAACGATTACAGCGTGAAAGAGACATTCTACAGTCAGAAAGTTATCATCTCAAGCAGGAACTTGAGGTCAGTGAGTTTAAAGCAGGGGAGAGATTAATGTTGAAAACAGAATAGGTGGGGAGAGTATAGAGATAACATGGAAGAGCATGAGATGATGTTGGGTGGAAGAAACATAAGATTAGAAGGGATGGGGAAATAAAGGGACAGTTGATAGCTGCACATAATGGTGAAGAAACAAAATATCAGCTGGAATGAGAAAATGGAAGAAGCAGTGAAGAGCATAGGAAGGGACAGAATATAGATGGAGGAACAGAATATTAGGATGAAGGGAAATGAATAAATCATTAAATAGGGTTAGAGAAAAGGTAGGAATAGTGGCTAGCAAAAGGGGGTTCGATAAAGAACCAGAATAAAGCCTCTTTTCCACTTGACAAATGTAGTTGCACGAAACAAAAGCGTCTGTTCATGCGCATTCACATTTCTCATTTCTATCGGACTTTTTCGCTTCAGCGAGTTCGGTAGTTTAAATTATTCCTATATTTTGCAAAGCCAAAAAAAAATGCGCAACCAATCAGAACTCAGGAAGCTAACCTTTTAGATTTGCACAAAAAAATTTGCCTAGTAGAAATCAGGCTTAGTAGCTGAAAGGAACAAGTGGTATATTTAATATCTAGGATAACATCAGGAAAGTTGTTACTGTAGAATGTTTTGTAATGACTTGCAAATTAATGTCCCCTTCCTTTTCCCCTCCCCTTCCTTTTCCTCTCCCAACACAAATGATCAGTGCTTCACTTGGTAATGGCCTTTATTGCTTAATACTGCTTTCATGTTAATTCTCCTTACTAACTGATCACTTTTAGTATATTCTTGAAAATAGAAACCTGAGAATTGATGCATAATACAACTAAGTGTTGATGCTTTAGTATTATGTCAGAATTAATAGTACTTCATTGTATCTGGAGATAAGTATTCCATTAGATTTCCGTAAATAGTGTTTGCCAAGTGATAAATTAAGCCATTGTGGAAAATTTTACTTAAATGGGATTTGTTCTAGTCGTCTGTTTATGCATTTAGTTCTGTTTTATGCAACTACTCAAGGTCAATATTCACCCGAGCACGTACCATATATATATGTCGTCGAGGAAATGTTGAACTGCGGTAATCGGTTACGTATTGTGACTTGCATTCACCCCCTGGCCAATGGTTGCGCTTTGAAGGAGTGATGATGTATGAGACAGCTTATCTATTAAGTGTGAGAAGATGCTATTAAATGACTTGTATTTGATTGTTAGGCTCTTGTAATGTTGTAGTCCTTTTCATCTCTAGAAAATCCTGCCCATTACATTACTCTTATCATCCCCTTACTCTCAGGCCTCAATTATGATTTATCTTCTAGAAGCATGAAGTAATTAACTAAACCACTTTGAAAAGCAGTACATGAGCCTAAAATTACTATTAAAAATAATAATAATAATATAAGACAATATTGAAGTTTTATTTTTTTATATTGTTGGAATAAATATTCATATTCATTAGTTATACAGTACATTCAGCCTGGTGGTTAAGATTGTGAAATATCTATTTTATTTATTTATTTTTTTTTTTTTTTATAAAATAACTTCTTTAGTTTATGCTACTATTTATTTCATTTAGGCTCTGCTGATGTTAATTCCCGTAATTAAAACATTTGTATCATTAAAAAAATATTGAATTCAGGTTCAGTTGTTTGTGTACGCATATGTGTATATGTTCTAACTATATCTATAAACTATACTTATAAATATAGTAAAAAATGCTAATTTATGCATTTTACCTTTGTAGGATATGAAATCTGAAGTTTCAATTAAGGAATCGTTAATGGATAATCTACAATCTGAACTGAACGATGCATCAAAATTCGGAGGTAAAGATGAAAAAGAAGTAATGGCACTAAAAAAAGCTAAACGGGAATTAGAGGCTAAAGTTCAGGACCAGGAAGAGGAGCTGGATGATCAAGCAGGTGAAATTCAACAGCTTTCACAGGTAAATTGTATATACTGTTAGTTTTAAGGGAAATGATACTTACCTACACTAGATAAACCCAGTTATTGAGAACACCCCTAGAACAAATAATACAATAGTCTGCTTCAAATGCATACCTTAACATTAATTTCTCTTCAGTTTTACACATTTTAATGGTCACCCTCTTCCTCCTTAATTTATATGGTTTTGTCTGTGATTTACTGTATTCTTTTCGTCGTTTTTGGTGCAATCAATTCAATTAGCATTAACAAAGTTTGTTAGTTCTATGAGTATGCAACAAATTTACATTTTACTTCAGTTTTGTCTAATTTATGTACCCCATTAGATCTCATTAAGGTAATCATTGTATGAACAATGAATGTTTTAAGAATGATTGATGATCTTAAAATAGACATGATGACATCAGTGTAGGCGTATGTTAATACCTGCAGGATATGAATGCTAGGTGACAATTAATTATATTGATCTATCTGTTCCCCAGATATGGTATAACCCACACACCATGCCCAACATAGAAACTGAAAGATATAACTTTACTTTAGGTATTGCAAAGATAATTGAAATGTGAAATAAAACTAAGCAAAAACCTTGATTTACTATTTGTACAATTAAGGTAATAGCACAAGTATGTATCTTCCCTTAAAGTAATGCTTTTAATTTGATTAGAGAAGCTTGTTTTTCCAAGACCAGACAAGCAGAATCGAGCGGGTATTTGTTCTATATGTGTTCCTGTATTCCTACCAAAGGTACAAAATGATTATAAACGTAATGGGTGATATATATAGACCATGGAGGAAAGAAACAGATCCTCCATGCATAGACCAACTACATGCCAACTACCACTAAATGCCAGAAAACATAAACATTTCCTAAATGTGAGACTGTTAATTTCTTTCAATGACAGAGGTAATCATGTGAAAAGCCATAGAGGCCATATATTAAGCGTGATACCTTATACTGTATAAACTTTCAATGTTCTTAATGTCATCATAAAATCACTTTATTCAATCATGTGACACACAAACACCTGGAACCATTTTTCCTGCCTGGAAACATGCAAGGAAAATTACAAAGGAATTATAAACATTGTTTTAGAACTCTTACGTAAAACCTCTTTAAACAATTCACCTTCATAAACTTAAAAATGTCTTGTGTTTATACCATCATTTCCTGTTTGGATTCAGGAAGGAAGCCATCCAAACTCACCTACGATATAAAGTTAAGTCATATAAAGAGAATTGTAGATCGAAAAACACATACCAGATTTGATAAAAACAACAGTACTGCCCTACTTGTTAAACATAGTTGATTTTAATCTGAATTACATAACATCATTTAGTCAAAGTTTGTTAAGACATGAAAGATGAAAAGATGCCTAGTGGAGATTTGAGAAAGAATATGCAGCAGGTTAGTAGTGTAAATTACTTGCCTATTTTTTAAAGTTTTTTTTTTTTGTAATTTATTTCTTTTTTTTTTATTTCTTTATTGTTCATTTATTTATTAATTTAATACTATTTTATATCAATTTGTTTCATGTGCAAAATGTTAGTGTCATTGAAGGCTCAAAATTTTTTCTTGTATCTAACGAAATGTTATCACCATGAAAAAGGCAAGGTCAGAGACTATATTGTGAGAGAAAGTATTTGTTCTTTGATATATAGGAATAATTAAATGAGGTAATGTCCGTTGGAGTACCTCCAAATAACCCAATTAAAACATTTATTTGTCGATTTGAAAAGATCAAATACCTTATCAACCTGAAGAAGTGCACTGTGTGCACGAAAGCTTGTGTACTGTCATAAATAAACTAGTCATAAAAGTACTGAATATCCTGAGTTTTATTTTCTATTATATATTAGACTAGTACGGCTTATCTATTTTTTACTTATCAACTTGAAATGTGGACATTGGCAGTAAACTTGTGACCACATTAATATAAATGTTAGTATGATCATTTTCTGATTTTGAGTAATATTGAAATCATCTTTTGCAAAAAAGATGAAATTTATAGACACTGTAAGTTCAGAGAATATAGATCATTCTTGCCTTTAGTTAACGTATATGGTATGTAAATCTCTAAATCGAGTCACCAGTCATCTTTTGGTGCAATTTTCGTAAACAAAAAAGCATTTAACATAACAATTTATCATTTGCCAGGCATTGAACCTTTGATCTTTTTCTTTTACTTAGTATATACGATGTTATGCTCTTTTTTTTTTTTTAACTTTAATGTGCAATTATTTTAACTAATCGGCTAACAATTTAATTGTATTCTACTATGTTTTATAGATGGCAAGACTACTCTTTCTAATTAATATTGAGATAGGTTTGTATTTTATTCAAACAGTATAAATACCAATTACAGGATAAACATAAAAATATAAAAATGTAATATAATATAACCAGCAGAGCGGTACACAATAATCATTTGAAAGCCTAAAGATTGCAATATATTTAGTATTTATAGAGCGCTAATATGAGCATATCAATTTATACAAGAGAAGGCATGGAAAGAAAATGCCAAGGATCTATGAATCCTGGGATGGGACCATGGTCCAAGAAAGGAGTGTTGTGATGTTCCCTTACCTATTGTGGGGTTCAGGGCTATGTCTTAACAATTATAATCTCTTATCTAAATGATTTACATTCTGTTAAAGACTTTTTGGCAGTTAACAAGATGGCGAACTCCTCTTTTGTCACCCCCTTGGGTAAACCAGTGATCTGATATTACTTATTTTTGTGTTGTTCTAGGGTAGATTAGAAAGCAGACATCATTTTACAATCTCAATCTCAGAGCTATACATCCATTAACACTATTTGGGGTAGTCTTTAAACTTTTAATTGTGTTGTTTTTCTGCACTTATGTTGTTAGGGTAGATTAGAAAGTAGACATCATTTGACAATCTCCGAGACTTAAGCTTGTGTACTGTCATAAATAAACTAGTCATAAAAGTACTGAATATCCTGAGTTTTATTTTCTGTTATATATTAGACTAGTACGGCTTATCTATTTTTTACTTATCAACCTGAAATGTGGACATTGGCAGTAAACTTGTGACCACATTAATATAAATGTTAGTATGATCATTTTCTGATTTTGAATAATATTGAAATCATCTATGTCTTAACAATTATAATCTCTTATCTAAATGATTTACATTCTGTTAAAGACTTTTTGGCAGTTAACAAGATGGCGAACTCCTCTTTTGTCACCCCCTTGGGTAAACCAGTGATCTGATATTACTTATTTTTGTGTTGTTCTAGGGTAGATTAGAAAGCAGACATCATTTTACAATCTCAGAGCTATGCATCCATTAACACTATTTGGGGTAGTCTTTAAACTTTTAATTGTGTTGTTTTTCTGCACTTATGTTGTTAGGGTAGATTAGAAAGTAGACATCATTTGACAATCTCCGAGACTTATACCCACCATTCACTGCTTGTCAGCAATCTCAAATTGTAGGTTTACAACGCCACTGCTTTAATCAGATACTGACCTTATAAATATTTTGTTTGCTGAACTTGTTGTGTTAGGATGGATTAGAAATTAGACATCATTCAACAATCTGTGAGCTATATATCCACCAACAACTGCATTGTTAGCAGTCTCAAATTGTGGGTTAACGATGCTGTTACCTTGACATTAATTGTTTTTGTTTATTAGTACCTCTGTTTTACAAGAACAGATTAGTAATGATTTAAGGTTCATAGAGACCATGTACTATTCCCAACCTTTACCATATGGCTGGTAATCCATTAAAAAAAAATTTCATGATAGAAGTTTATGAAGTTGCAAAAAAATCTATCTTACTTTATTGGTAACTTATTTTATTTTTTTGTTTCTTTCTGAATTTACTACAGTAAATGTTTAAATACAATATATATTTTTTTTAAATATTGAATTGATGTTTCTTCAGTATTGGTGTAATCTTTAATCTCATTTCAGACTCATTTTCTTAAATATGTATTTTCATTCCTGTTGGCTACAGACTCATTGTGTTATGGAAAATTTACGCTTCAAGAATAATTCAGTCATTTTCAGAACTATTGCGTTAAATGCGAAAGCAGTGTTTTTATCATTTTATCCATTACGAACATCAGCTCAAACTAATAAAAGAAGCTATTAGGGCTCCAGATAATTTGTGGTTTAAGCTTTTAATTACTGTTTTCAGAGTATTCATTAACTTCAATCGCGGGCCCTAATGTTTATAAAAATATGCCTAGGGGCTATTCGCTAACTGAAGATCCATATAGAATCTGCTATAATAAGCAATTAGTTATTGTTCTGTTTTTGAAATTTTTGATAATGATTCTTAATGTGCCTGGTAGATTGCTGTTACTTCTGTAACTTTGTACTCTTGTTTAGGCTAAGCTACGTTTAGAGATGCAAAATGAAAAGATGAAGATGGCACACCAAAAAGAACTTGATGCAAAAGATGAGGAAGTTGAAAGCATGCGAAGCAGTTGTCAAAATAAGGTAATGATGAAGATGGCAATAAAGATGGTGATAAAAATAGTGATGATAATAATCACCATTGTGATAAAATGATTGATTGATAAGGATTAAGATTTTTATGGAGATATTGTGGATCATTATGGTGATGATAATGATGACAATTATTATAATGTTGATTTGGCAATGATGCCCACTGTGTGAGGAGCAGTTGTCAAAATAAGGTATGATGGAGATGGCAACACAGACGGTGATCATGATGATCACCACGGTGATAAAATGATTGATAGATGAGGAAGAAGATTTTTATGAAGATGTTGCGGGTGATTATGATGATGATAATGGTGGCTTTGATTATGATGATGATAATGATGACAATTATTATAATGTTGATTTGACATTGATGCCCGCCATGATAAAACTGATGATATATTGTCAATTTACCATAAAGTGTTGGTGTAAAATTCTCTATGTATACTTTTTATAAAATTCTCAATTTTTTATTGTATCAAATTTTTCAACCAATGGTCTTGCAAGAAATAAAATTGATCTTATTTAAAAGTATTTTAAATTTGATTAACCTCAGTTGAAACAACTTGAAGTTCAAATTGAAGAAGAGTATTCCGAACGGCAGTCAGCCATCCGAGAAAAGCGAGATATAGAAAGACAACTTACAGAACTACGTGACCATGCGTCGCAAGGCGACAAGGACGTTGAGCGACGACTTCGCAAAGATCTTAAAAAGACCAAAGCATTGTTAAGTGATGCGCAAACTGTGCTTGATAAACAGCAGACATCAGCTTCCACGAGTGCTAAGATCAAACAGCTTAAGAATGAGGTAAGTATACAGATTGAATGTACTCCTTACCCTAAATGGGGGTTTTAATTGAAAGGGAGTGGGTGGCTACGTTAATTACATTTGTGTTAGATATATATATATATAGATATATTATTATTGTTATTTTAGGCACCAAGGACAAGGATATATTGTAATCGCTTTTCTAAGTGGCAATCCCATCTCACAATATGCTCTACATAATATAACACAACTTCACATAAACTATGAAATATTAACAATTATTGTTAACAATAGTAAGAGTGTTAGCTATTGAAATTTATGGAAAATTTTAAATAGTTTAGGGCAAGGTTTTGAAGGTATGTAAAAGAGATGGTAAGTTCGACCTGAGGGGGTAGGAAAATCTTTGTTTGCTTATTATGTGTGACAGATATTAATGTTAGTGTATTTAATGAATATAATAGAGTGGAGTTGAATAGCTTAGTGGTTAAGATGCTGCCTTCTAATCCCTTGGTCCTAGGTTCAATTCCTGTCACAGCAAGACTTTTTCTCATGACCAAAAAACAACTCCACTCAATAAGAGACTTGGCTTATAAATCATCGTTCTATCTTGTAAATGGCAAGTGTACTTGCCTTTGGAAGTGAATTTAAAAAAAAAATAATTTGATTTGTTTGTTTTTAGCTGGAAGACACACAGTACACAGTGATATCGGCAGTGAAAGCTCGTCAGAGCATTGAGACAGAGCTTGCTGATATACAATCTCAATTAGATGATGCTTTAAGGGCAAAATCTGAAGTAAGCAAATATACATTATGTAAAGAGTGTCATTAGGTGGGAGTGGAGAGTGGGTGACTGCTTAAAATTTACTTTCCATTTCATTTATTTTTAGACACTTGTAGAGTGGTCTTATGCCATAGTGTTTCAGGACAAAACATTGCTATCAGAGGGTCCATTTCTAACAATATTTGTCTGTTATCATTGGTGTATTAAAGAGAAAGCTTGGGGAATTAAAAAGTTTAAAATGTTTTTGGGGAAAAGTGATGGGGAAATTTGCAAACATACATATTGCCCATAGGCCGATTTATATTTATATAGGAAACCGTGTTACTCAATTAGTCATAAAAAACTGTCACTCGATGTGTATTACCTTCACTCTACCAAACAGCTGGATCCACAGAATTTATACCCATAATCCACGTCAACTGTTTGCTTTTTCTTTGCATGGCCTTGGTTACAAAATTCTAATTACCATTACAGTAGCACACAAAATACTTATTATTTTTTGTCAGCTTACGTTTGATGAAAATTATTTCAAAATGCCAAGTACATAAATGTCAGTTGAAAATCACTTTACATGGTACATGCGGTAGGAGCAAGAATGAAGGACCTTACAAATCTGCTGCAATTTCCAACGACTCCGATTTTACTCCGCGGAAACCGTGTGTTATGTTGTAAACAAATACAATGACGTGAGAATTAACTGTATGTATAACAATTATATATAAAGAAATATGTATGAAAACAAAACATAAATGTATCTAAAAAGAAACATATGAAAAATTTAATATGTAAAGAATAATAATATATAAACAAATTTGTCTTTTAATGCAAATATGTAAGTGTGTAACTTTCCCACAGCTAAGGCTAAAGCTATATTCTCATTGGATTAACATGATGCAGGATAACTTTTCTATGACTAAATCGTAATACAGTTGTTAGTATTTTTACTGATATCATGTATAAATACAGTAGGAAAAAAAATAGGGCACTTCAACATGCCCTTTTATCCATGTAAGCTGGGATTCAACTATAATGGTATTCTGTTCCAATGCCAATCACATCTTAAATTTAATTTATTAAAACCGGAAACCGGCTATTAGCATATGAACTAATCATAGATATTAGAACTTCAACAAATACATCTGCATCTTCATGACCTTTTGTCCACCTAAGCCTGGATTCAACTTCAGTGACGTTCTCTTCCAATGTGAATCGCGTCTTTAATTAATTTATTTATCAAAATTGACATTTAACAGCGAAAACCCGCCATTTACGAAATGAAACTTAAATCTCAGATAAAATTCAGTTTGTGACAGACAAAAACAACATAATAAAATGCACTGCATATACTGTAATAGAGAGTAATTATAACTTTGTAATATTCATTCATTTAATTCATTCAAAAGACATTTATTTACTTCCATAGTACAAACGCAGATATAAACAAAAAGATGTGATTTAAAAGAATAATTTTAAAAAAGCTATGGAGAAGGCAAGATACCATGAAGATGAAGATTCTGCGATGGGCATGCCTCAAAGGAAATAGAAGTCAATACAAACATGAAAAAGAAAATTAAAAAAAACAATGACAAAACAAAGAACCGTGTTGAACTGAACTATACTTTTTAGGCTCAAACTCTTAAATTAATCTAAAGGAATTTTTATCAAGCCACTGCTCCCCACACTGGATAAAACTTGGCTAAACTTACCAGACTTCAATTCAATTCAATTCAAATTTATTTGAGCATAATTCAACACATTACAAATAACAAATGAACAATAAAAAGATAATTTAGTAAAACATTTACAGCTCAAGATAACCCGAAAAAACTGAATCGGTTTATTTCCGTTGGGGTCCCTTAAATAAAAAATATTACATAAAAGTTGGTTAAAAAACTAAAACAAACATTAAAATTTATTAAAACCTTTAAAATTACTAATGAAAGTACTAATAAAACTAACTAATAAAAGAAATAAAACCCATTAAACCTTAAAAGTATGTAAAAGTGAATGTGAAAAAATAAAACAGGTAAAAAACAAACATTAAAATTCGTAATTTGAAAATAATTTTACTGTGCTTGTGATCAAGCTAGGAACCGGATTCAAAGACCAAAAAAAACTAAATATTTCAATAACTAATTTTTCATTTTTTGTATAACAAGATATTTTGTCATGACACTTCACATTTGTTATAGAAGAATTTTCTTTAATTAAAACCAGTATGCTTACGTTTTTTGGTGTAAACAGTTTTGCTAACTATCAGTTAACATTTGTGCACCTAAAATTTTGAATGACGACGTAAGAAACGTAGTGGATTATTACAGTGCGTAGGATTTAGCTTGGGTCTCAGAGAAAAGCCACTGCGTATTTTAATCATAGTGCGATTTTGACAAGTTAACTTTCAGTGAAAATGAATGTAATGAGACCACGGCTTAAGACTCATTAGGTTTTGTTTATGCATCTTGCGTTGTGTAAGTGGTTGGCTAGACACTCGCTCATTGTTACATGAGAATTAATCACAGTTAATGAGAATTTCATTGTTGACTTATTAATGACATTAATGTTGATAAATATTTGGGGCCAGGAATTCAATAACAATGAAATAGTTCAAAGAATCAGTTCATCCAGGTAAGTATTCATTAAATAGACTAGCATAAATTTTTAGCTAGAATCCTGAGTTTTCCCTTTCAAATTAAATTAAAAGACAAAGTGAAGTTTATTTATTTATCTATTTCGTGAATACTTACTTGGTTGAACTTGGTTGAACTGAACTGATATAAGCCAGATTCCTATATGGATCTTACCCGCGAAAAATAATTTAATAATAATAACGCATGGATGCTACGTAACAAGCCTCAAATTCAAAGACAAAGTGAGATTTATTTATTTATTTAGCAGATTTAAATCTTTTAAATCATTATACTATTTGCCTCCCACTCATTCACTACAGACCCGCAAACGCACACTCGCTTATAAGCAAAATTCCTGGAAATGAAATTAGAAATTATAGTACAGTAATTTTTTTTCAATAGCTGTGAATGATGAAAGGTAAAATTAATTTGAAATATATAGTGTATAAAGTAATTGTGTGGCTGACTTGTAATATAACTATGATTGTGTAATGCTTATAAAATATATGTTTGTGTTATTATAGGCTGAGGAGAAAGTATCGCGTTTAAATCGTGAGAATAATGAATTGCAGTCTCGTATTGATGATCAAGATGAAGATTTCAACGAACTTCTCAAAAAACATAAAGCTTTTGTATTCCAGGTAAGAATAAGGCAAAAGATAAAGATATGAGAATAACCCATAACTCCCAACGTCACTGTGCTGAATTGCATATGTACATGGTCCGTGACTACTTTGCAGTTGTAGAGAGGCGCTAAGTTCACATCATTCCACAATGACGGGCTGAAGTGAACCATGGCATTATTCAGGTAACCCCATTACTCTTATGAAAGATGCAGTAGGTAGGTATGAGCCAGATGGGTACACTGGACCTGCCGTTTTAAGTCCTTATCCAAGAAGACTTGATTCTAGCAACCGAACCCTGTAGAAGGAGTGCCTAAAGCCACCGCCGATGTTAAGGCTGTAATCAGCGGCGCCCCTGCATTACCGCTTAAGCACTTGACTTGCACAAAAGGCCCAAGCACTGCAACATCTGGAAATCTGAGTCAGTCAGTCAGTCAGCAGTCTTTTTTACAGGCCTAGGATTACTGCCAGCGATCACTTACTTTATGTATTTCATTGGTAAATAGTAACCATTGAACTAAAATATATTGTTAAGATTTCAAATTTATTAATTTATAATCATCACATGGGCATTCTGGGTTCCTTGTTAAATATAATACATTTTTTGCCATATGCTATAAAAAAAAATTTTTTGTTTACATTTAATAACATAACACAGGTAGTAAAAAATTATGTACCAAGAAAAATATACATTTAAATATACTGTTAATCAAATTACAGGCATCCAGTGACCATGCTAGAATGTCGGAGCATCTACAACAGATAACGGAGCTTACGGAGCAGAAACAGCAGCTGGACGAGAAGGTAATAGAGATCTTTTGATTTGTTTGACGACACAGCGCTAGAACAGAATCACTCATGCGTGACCGTCCTGCTTGGCATTCTACATTTTCTGCTTACATAGATTTGGCCAAGTTACGTTCCAGAATCCAGAATGTAGATGACTTTTAGTGACGTCATTACGTTCTACGTCCTATTGTCGTCCTGCAATCGAAAGTTCCCTGATAACAGTTCCACACAAACAAATTCATTCTCTATTTTTTTTTCCCAAGTTAGAATTCAAAAAATATAAATGTAATGAAATAATCAGCAAAGATTTAATGAACAGGGAGAGCTGTAACTTGGGGGTGGGGGTCAGTGTGCTAGTCTAAAAAAAGACTGACTCTGGCAAAACCTTACTATACATTTTGTCAGCAAATCAAATTGCCATTTGAAACAATTTAAACTTTTTACTGTTTTGAAGAACAGTACTACCAAATATCAACTTAATATTGAATTACTGAAACTTTTAAAGCTATTTCTCAAATCCAACTTTGCTGATATCCAATTAACTAAGTAAGATAAGATAAATTAAAATTTATTGTCATAATGTAAACTTGAAATTATTTGGCTTGCAAAAGTATTAGAATATCAATTACTCAACTATTTCTTATCAAATATACATATTTACAAAGATTTTTGCATGCTTTATGATACAAAAAAATCCAATCTTAAATATTTCTGATAAGCTTCAGGTTTTGCCACATTTATCATGACTGTAAAGAACTTCATTCCCTAAAACATTTTTATAAAACTATATAACAGGGGCGGATCCAGGATGTTTGAAACAGGGTGAGGGGGGGCACAACTTTGATATAGGCTTCATGTAATAGAATTATACAAATAGCTAAGTATCCAATAAAGGTATGATTCGTGTTCAGTATATGCTGTTATGAAATTGTGTAACATTTAGTATTTTGTATATTTTTTGCTGTTAAAATAAGAGATGGCAGTGGCAAAACCGGGGAGGGGGGTGGTGGTGTGTTTTCCCTACAGGTCCCATTACCCCATCCCTCTAGACTGTTGTACTAATCTTATTCAATTTAGTTGAGTTGTTAGTTTTACCAGTGGCCTTCCCTGGGGTTTGTCATACAGTAGTTTAGGAGCATGCTTGAGCACCACCTACATTCTAATAAGAATGATCATCATTTAGCTAATGCCATTAATTCCCCTAAGGATGGCTAGCCAATTGACTACTGACTTTTTATAGTTGATAAGTGAATTTCTCATTTCATTGGGCAACAGAGCATTGTGAAAATGGTGATGCTGCTTACCTCCATATTAGTTCATTCTAAAATATATATAATAAAATTTTGCCCATTATATGGTTTTATAATCTCACAGAATATTGATCATAGCCTTTCAACAAAAGAAATTGAATCTGTTTTATACCCACAGGCTTTTGTGGTACAACTGTGTGACTGTATGTTAAACTCATGTAGGCCTATATAAATGTATTTATGATTGTTTTTAATCTTTTAAATTGCTATGTATTATTGTTTTGATACAGTATTTATAATTTCGTATGAAATGTACATTTGTGTTTTCATATGAGCGATTGTGCCTCTATAAGTTTCCTTGAGGATAAATAAATTCTGAATTTGAATTGGATGACCCTTCTTTTGACACTGAAAAGTCATATGCTTAATTCCTACTGGATGCACTTTTTTATACAAATAATAAGCAACTTTTAGTTTTTCAAAAAAACATGTGTTTTAAACGGTGATGTTTTTCTCCCAGCAGAAACGGGTCAAAAAACAAAAACCATGGTTAGGATTGTGTTCTAAAAACACACGTTTTAACACGCATTCGTTAAAGGTTTTGTGTTCAGAAAACAAGAAAGAAATAAACAAACCGGATGACATGCTTGAGGCTTTACCATAATTACCATGCATTCGTTAAAGGGTTTGCGTTCAGAAAACATGTGTTTTGTGGTACACTTTTCAGCTGCAACGCAATACCGTGTTAGTCGTGACCCATCGGTGACCCAAATTGACCTCTTTGTTGGTTTGATCGCTCATCCGTGGGAGCTAAGAAAGAAATAAACCAACAGGATGATATGCTTGAGGCTTTACCATAATTTTTTCTTACTTTTGCGGTGTGTTGTTTACTTCTTTCGCAGCATGCGCTGTAGCTCGCAGGAAGCAAGGTCAACTTCAACTTCATTTGGTGTTCGTCATTATAAGCGCCGCCCACCTGCCAATGCTTACATTACCGTATTTTTATTAGTTGCATTTTTCACTAGAAACGTGTTCCGAAGGATTTTATCTGTTTAAAAAAAAGCATGTGTTTTTGGTATTATTCAGCAGAAACACGCCCTTAATGTGCTTGATGCTGTCAAATCATTTGTCACTGTACTTAAGCTCTGTTTCTATCATTTATCTATTTAACCTTATTTTAGGTCACTGAACTCACTAATAAGATGGAGTACATGGGACAGACAATGGTTGAGAAGAATCAAGTTACTAGGTTAGAAGCAAGAGTGCATTTGGAGGATGGAAAAGAGCTGTCTCTTATACACATCTAGATGTGTATAAGAGACTATATTAGTAGTTAAGTGGAAACATATCCATCATCAGTACCAGCATCATTAATTATTATCAACATTAAAAATTAAACATTTATTTAAACGTTTAAAGTAACTAATTTAACAACGCCAAGTAATACGTGCTTACAAACCAGGAATTACCACAGTCAAGCTGATGTATTCATGCATGCTATAAACACAATGGCCCAAGCATGTTGTTGTGGCAGGTGGCGGCGAACGATGAGGGTGTGGAAGATTTTTGGTAGATTGCGGCCTGGGTACTCTATACTGTGACATATGTTTATTTTAAAGCAGCCGTAAAATTAATGATTAACTTATACTATTATTATAATATACCATATGTTTTAATGTTGCCGTTTTTACGAAATAAACTTCAATATACAAATAAATTAAATATTGTTAGCAATTTGTTTTACCTGCTTCAGATTTGTACGAACTATAAACATTATGTCATTAATAAAGAGAGCAAACACATGTTAAGCTCAATGGTGGCGTTGAAGGGAAAAATGCTTTTTTTAGGGCAAACTCTTGCTAGATAGTTAAATAGGTAGGTCTAGAACTTGATCAACGTTAGGCCTAGTCAGGTGAGCTTTTGTTCTGTAGCTGTTGTTTGATGTAGTTTTGATGATAGATAATCCCTTTTAGCTGTAGTTAGGGCATAAGTTAGAGAGACACTAAAAAATGCAAATTGCCGAGGTGAGTGCAATTTACGTCGGCAATTTTTTGCTGAGGACTTATCGTCCCAATTTCGAGGGCTGAAACAGTATATTTTTACTGAAAATAAAGATATATAAATGTATTTTCATTGCTTGCATTACAACTGCATTTCGACTCCACATGGAATGGTTCCTTTTGTTTTTGCCCTACCTATAGTATATGCCATCACTCATGATTTGGTCATGGAGACTCCCAATTTCACGACAGAAAATTCTGATTTATGAAGTAAAATATAATATGTAATTTGTTGTTTTTTGTCATCATCATCCAAAATAGGCCTGATAGGAGCATGTGTATACTGCATAAACTAGGTCAAAATTACTCTAAACATGGTCCATTGTCGGACAGGGTGCTAACAGCCATTGGTCAACTGTCAAAATGTCTACCACAGCTTGAACTGAAATGAACCTTAACACATCCCAAGCGCAGTATACTCAAAAATAATTCTCAAATCTGTATGCTTAAACAGATCTATTGTTCAGCAATAAAATTGCGCGATGAAAATCCAAATTACTGAGACATCAGACAGCTGCTTTAGAATTGTGCTGGCATGTTGAACATATGCTTGATCAGATCATGAGAATACAGTTGAAAGAATTACTGACATTAATGAGTTTATTTATGAAAGTTATACAAATTGCAAATGATTATTTTTGTTTGTGTTGTTGTAATTGTTTTTATTTAAATTTAGCATTCATAGAAAAATCAAAAAGCAAGCACCTGCGTAAACTTAAACATTTGATAGTGCATAAATTTGTCAAGAAATATTAATATAATTTTTAATGTCCTTGATAATAGCATTTGCAGATGATCTTTGATATGGCTTGGTACATCTGAGTGCTAGCTAATGATGGGTAGCGATATTATGGATATTAGTTAGTCTGTTTCATGAATACTTACTTGGATGAAGAGCAATATTATCGATGTATTCTGTAATACATCATAAAATCATTTTTATTTATCAACATGCTTAATGATCATTCCATTTTTGTGATAGGGGTGTGAAAATCAAACCTAAACTGAATAAAACCCAGTTAACATGGCAACCAATGAAAATCCAGAGCCACAACATACATTTTTAAATCAATGTAATGGGAAAATCTCTAAATATTTACATCTTACATGTAATAGAATAATTTATTTGTATAATAATTTATATAGATTTCATTTTCAAGGACACAGTGAATATTAAAAAATCTATTGTAATTAAGTCTTTGAATGTCACCAGTCATCCAGCTTTTGTGTATTTCAGACACTCTGAAGTATTAAAACTCTGCCATAGTAGAATATTGCTGTTTACTAAAGCTTGTCAAACATACCACACTTGATTAATGGTCATTCCAATCTGCCTCCCCTGCTGCATTCAATGATCTCCCTATTCACATTTCACAAACTATTATTGTTACACCCAGATTACACCCATCCAGTATACACTTACATAATAATATAATTTGCAATAAGTCAGACAGACTTCGCCTCCCATATTTAAAAATCCAATTCCTAACTCATTTCTCCCTTCGGCCATTTTCCAATTAAACCAGAATTTCCTCAGCTAGCAATATTTTAATGCCGTAATAATGTGTTGAATTGAATGAATTTATGAATAAAGAAAATCCTTGAGTAGAGTGAAATAAATATTTAAAAAAACAGCTCACACTTAAATGTGAAATAAGATTCAAGGATAAGTCATAAAGCAGTTGGGTAGATTTCAATATCTTGGAAGTGAAATAACTTGAGATGCTACGTCTGAGACGGAATAAAGGAAAAAAAGTAGCATAGTAAAATCTGCTTTGAAAAAGAAGAGAATTATATTAATACCTAAAAAGAATAAAAGATTAAGGCTGCTCCGATGCTATGGCTAATACATTTGTATGAGTACAATACTTAAGCCATTAAGCTTCGTTCACATCGAATCCAAACCAAAATGCGCTAAACACCAGCATCCCTATGCTTGGATACTGGTTTGATTTTCTGATCAGTTTGGTAGGCTTTCCATTCACTAAATTTGGATTCGATGTGAATGCACCTTTAAAGTCAGGCTCCGGAGGAAGAAAAAAATTGCATAACCACGCTATTTTTTCACCATTTTCCCCCAGTTTTTATATATTCAAAAATCCGTATCTCTTTAACCGTTCCCGAGTTTTCCGTCAAATAAGCTTTTTGTGTCTTAGAAAAAATCAGTTGTACAACATATTAAAAATTTGTTTCCCTCTGAAGCCTGACTTCAATGAATGAAAGAAAGGGTAGGAGAAGCATATATTTGGTTTATGCATTTGGAGGATGGAAAAGAGTGCTTGGGCAAAAAGAGTGACAAATTCAGAGGTGTTAAATAGAGTTGGAAATAAGATGTAGCAGATGTGCTCAATTTATTATCGCCAAATGAGTTGGTTTTATTTTTTTTTCCCAATGCTATGAGAAGGTTTTAAGAATTAACTAAGAAGCTGTAAATGAGCAATAGGCAGAAGGAGAAAATTTATGTCGCTAGTTTAAGTAATGGATTTCCTACTTTTCCAAGTGGTACATTACAGTACAGAGGAGCCCTAGAGGCTTGGAAAGACTTATCAGCTGAGGTCTTCTGGATCAGACGCTGCTGCTACTGATCATGAAATCTGTGTATAATATTAAGTTGTAATTATACATGTCTGACTTTATGGATCATGATGAATAAATGGTGTAGCTGCGTGCTAAGATTTGTCATTTCTTATATTGACTTATGTAGTAAGTCTGTAACCAAATATATAATTTATATTATTATTATTCATTATATGTGTTGTTAGCATTAAAGTTATCAATATTTAATGTAAACTTTCTTATTGGTTCAATCATAAAAGAATAATCAAATATTATTTATAAGTTATTTATTATCATTATATAAGTTATTTATTATATTTTATTAGTCATTCATTATCATTGTAATATATATACAATCATAATTATTTATTATATCATTATTTATTATTATTTATTCTATCACTTAAAAATATCTAATATATCTAAAAAGTATCAAATACTTGTAAGTTATTTATTATCATTATTTAAGTTCTTTATTATCATTTATTAGTTATTCATTATCATTGTAATACATACAATCATAATTATTTATTATGATATCATTATTTATTATTATTTATTCTATCATTTAGAAATATCTCCTTTTAAAATTGGTTTAATTTGCCCAAGGAAGTATTTGTTGGTTATATTAGCTGGTTTCATCGATCAATAATGATAATGTTGTACTTGAAGCTCTTATCTTGCTTTCTGTCTTCCATATATTTGTTATCATTGCTGATATCCTGACTTTAATTTTGATGTAAAAAGAAATAAGTTATAAAATATAATGTCATAGATTGATTGGTTAATTTTCAAACAAAAATATTATCTTTAAATAATTTCAGTTTGTAAATATATTTTTTTTAATCATAAAATCTGAAAAAAACATTTTAAAAATTCTATTAAATCATATAATTCTGCATTTGATAGTCTAATAATGTATCATCCTCTTACAAACCGATTAAATTAGTTTTGGTTTCATTGATTTCCAGGTTTCTACTACAAATACTGTATATACCTTTTAAGAGTCTGTACAAAGATTTTAGAAACAATATTATTTGTAATATAATATGCAAAATACGTGATAATTATATTGCCTGAATAAACAGAAATTCTTTCCCACTGGCAATACAGAGCATAAAGACGGTCAAATACAAAATTATGAATTTGGATTAGTAATACCCAGTATTAACATTTACTTATCTAACATTGACATTGTTATATACATTAGGAAAAAAGGAATTTGCCATAAGCTTATTGATTTTATATTTTTATAAAGATCAGGAATTAATATTATTTGTTCATCTTCATTTGATTAGGAAAATAATTATTCATTCCAGTTTTCAATTGAAAACTAAAAATTTAAATATACAAAATTCACATATTAAATAATTGTATTCTTGCAAGTTTGTTAGCTATAACATGGCGATATAAAAGTGATATTTTTATACGTCCATGGCTCAATGCAGACAGTATAGAAAAATTCTTTATGGTTATTGATTGCAGGGTCATATGGAACGTCTTAAAGAAAGCCTAGAAGCAATAGCATTGGAGAAGGACCAACTGAAACAAAGAGACCATAGGGCACAGGAGTCCATGAAGAAAGTACAAAAAGAACTAAGAGATTTAAGAGAACAATATTCTGTACTCCAACGAAAAGAGGTCGATGCAAGTAAAAAGAAACATGAATTTGTAAGTTCAGTGCCAAACATGCATTTTTTGTAAAAAAGTATCATCATATTACAATAAATATAATTCAGTTCAATTTTGATTTATTCAAGTCACATTCACATTAACATTATATGATTACAATAGTAAAAAACAATGTGTAACATATATGAAAATAAAATATTAATAACGTTAATAATAATGTTAGTGATTTTCATTCCTTTTATACTGTATTTGACTATAGTGCTAATAATAATAATTTGTAGCATTCTTATTTGGGATATATTCTAATTTTACTAAATTAAAGCAAGAAACCATTAAGTAATCAAATAAAAAATAACTTACAATCAAATTTATTAACAAGACAAGATGTTGTATACAAGTAACCGTTTCTTTTCCCTGGTTTCAGTTTTTCTCTGGAATACCCTGCCTTTTGACATCGCAAACAACTTCTATAAATGCTTTTAAAGCCCTCTTTTAATTAACCTCTTTAAACAAAATCTTTGACTTATTTTGATTGTACTCATATTAAGAGTAAATTATTATTGTTATTATTATTATTATTATTATTTAAATTTACATTGTGACAGCATCAAATTCAGATTTCATATTTTGTCATAAAGCACGCCATGATATTCTTTTACAATATAATCTATTATATATATAACATGAAATCATTATACAATACACAATAAATTCACGAAATGTATCAACTGTCTTCCATAACTTCATCTCCCTTCAGAAAATAATCAGTTTCATCATTGATTTAGTAATGCATATTGTTGAATTTTAGGAGGTTGATGTGCAGAACCTTGAGGAGACAAACGAACAATTACAATCTGATCTAAAATTAGCGTTCAAAAGAATCAAGGATCTACAAAATGCCCTGGAGGATGAGATAGGAACAGATAGTGATATTGATGATAGGTATGTGTTTACCCAATGAAAAAAAAAAAACATGTTTTTTTCATTTACAGACGCTTAAAAAATACTCAAATTTAACTGATGCAATTGTGCCTTAAAGATGTACGTGCTTTATCTGTACACACATATATGTATGTATATATATGTATGTATATATATATATATATATATATATATGTATATACATATATATATATATATGTATGTATGTATATATATGTATGTATTATTATTATTATTGTGATTATTATTTCATTATTACTTTTTATATCAGGTTTTTTTTATATCAGATTTATATCTATTTTTATTATTTCCATTATACACCAATTTTATATAGACCCTTTGTCTCATTTTAATTACTGTTCTCTCAGATTCTCAGTATTACAGTTGACTTCCTTATTATTGTTTATTTTGCATTGTTGTTTGTCACAAGCAATTTTACCGCCAGTCATTTTTAATGCTTCCTACTGTTTATTAGTTTATCACTTCTCATTTACTAATTGCTGGCCTTTTATCTTACGACTTATCTTGGTTATTCACTTGATACTTTTAGTTTGATTTGTTCTGTAATTCTCATTCATACGTGTTAACGCTGAAGAAGGATGCAGGCGTGTCCGAAGTATTCGTTTGCAATAAATTTTCTCTATTATGTCAACGTATGCTATCGCTTCATTTTCGTATTTACTTTTATTTATATGTATGTATATATATATATATATATTCAGTGGGAATTTTGCCTCACTAGACAGAATACACACTGAAATTTATGCATGAAGCACAGCTTTTTGTATGCAAGATTAAAAGCTGAGCAGAATTTTGTTCTTTATTAATTTGGTAAACTATTTCTTCATTCATTTTGTAACCAACTACTATATTTAGTCTGTAACTTACTTATTGTTGCACCTATTCAATCATTCATTTTGTAGGTAATTTTTCCATTAATTCCAATATTAAAATTTAATTCCTTCAATTACTCTGTATGCTATCTTTTCATTCATTTGTATAACTATTCAATGTAAACTATTCCTTCATTCATTTTGTAACTACTATAATTAGTCAGTAAGTTACTTAATGCTGTACCTATTCAATCATTCAATTTGTAGGTAATTTTTCCATTAACTCCACTATAACTTATTTAATTCCTTCAATTACTCTGTATGTTATCTCTTTATTCATTTATATAACTATTCAATAGTTTATTCATTCAATTAATACAGAGGAAGTAAATAATTTTCTTTTTTTGCTCATATAGTTTGTCTATTCCATTAGGTGGATGCTTTTGCTCCTTTCTCTTTTGGCAAAACGTTTTTAACTTGTTAGCTTAAATATAATTGTTTATTGGATACCTGATATCTTGATCTTGGAAATTCATTTCATTATTCTGAATTTTAAATGGGAAAACAATCAAGATTTTGGGAATAATATTCCAATTGGGAATAATTAATTTCAGTGATAATCCCAGGAAATTGCATAAGTATGAATGACCTAGTTTCAGACTTGACTTTGAATTTGTTTAATGGGAGTAAGTCTAAGTGTTCTTCTCTAGGTACTTGATTTATTTTTATTTAGACCAATAAAACTGTAAAATAAAATATTTAAATCACATTCTTATTCGCTGGCCTCAACTGAGCTTTGACTGAATTATAGGATCAGACGAGTAGGAATGTATATTTCTTTAGACGTATGTTAATGCATAAAGGATCAATAATAGTTTATGAAATTTTTGATTCTAATTTTATTTCAGTATATAAAGTTAAATAGCAAAAAAAGCTAAATTGTATTCATTGTGGTTGAATACTTGCTATCTTTAACAGTATTTTCTACTACTGATTAATAGTACTTAACCACATTTGAATAATTTTAGTAGGCCCACTTACTACATTTTATTCATTCATTCATTCATTCAATCAATAAATCGATCAATCAATTATTCATTCAATTATTCTTTCTTTCTTTCTTTCTTTCTTATCGTGTCGTGTCAAAGTGCTAAGAAACTATACAGCCCAAGAACACAAGGAAAGGATAACTCATAAATTCATTTATTAGAGAAACATCTAGTCCTCAGCATTTAAAAATATTTTTTTTTTGTTTTTATCTTAACTGCCCACATATCTTGTGATAAAAGTATTAATTTTATCCTCAGAATTAACTACATATAAAAGCATTTACAAATTCAATTACTGAACTGCTTCCATTGCCACAATGTGATGTCAATTACTTTTTATCTCAAGAGGTTTTTTTTTTATTTACCAATAAAATATTAATAATTATTTGTACATTCCTCTTTGCTTAGATGCTTTGGTTAAACTATTTTGCTAAATAAACAATAAGATTTTACTTTTATTGTTTTCCCACTCTCTCTCTCTTTCGAAATATAGTTTGCTAAGCAAGATATAAAAAGTCATGTTTAAAGGTATTAATAGTTGTAAATCCCTGTCCAGTCTATCAAATTTTATTCGACAAATGCATGTGACATGCCTATATATGGTCATGATTACATCACATCATGACCATATATAGGCACATCATGACCAAATATGGGCACACAACAGTTTTTTTTTTCAAATCAAATTTGATTATGTGGACAGGCCTTGACTCTTAAGTATACACATGAGTCATAGATTAATAAATTGAAAAACTGGAATGTTAATGAATTTACATTTTAATTACTTGTTCATATTCATAAAATTTAAGTGCTTAATAAATTTTGAGTACTCACTAAAATTTGTTAAGTACTCTACCTTTGAGTATATTTATTGATTGCCTTTGACCCAATACATTCATTATTTGCCTAGCTGTGTTTGGACTTGGTGAACCTACCCAGTTTTTCTACTTTTGATTTATGAAGTGTATGCAGCCTTAGCGACTATTGTGTCGTAAATTACTGCTTCTTCAAAATCCCTAAAGTTACCAATACATGCTTTATCCTATACGGAATTCGTGTATATTCTTGATCGATAAATATTTATTCAAAGTGTTTCAGCTGGCTATGTGTATCAGAATACAATAGTTTCCACTATCTTCTTTCTCCTATGAGATATAAATTAGAATCACCACCATCATTGCATCATCATTAAGGTTATTCATCTTATATGGCGATATTATGGGGGAATATTTCTATCCCCCTCCCTCATCCCTCAACTAAAAAGCTCTTCCTTGGGGGATTCCTCCTCCACATGAAATTTGCTGAGCAAAGAAAACACTCAGATCACCATATTTTCCCAACTAGTACCCCTCGCTTAATTGTCAGCCCCATCCCACTTCATCTTTGGGTCCTACTCAGACACCCTTCCATGTCAATACTCTTAGAGAGGCCACTACATATCACCCACCGCTATCATGAATGTTATCATCATCAACACTATCAACATCTTTATCCTCATCATTATGAAAACCATATTCACCAGAAAGGCTGCCCTTACTCTCCCATTTGTAAGGCAGATTACAGCTAGCAACTATTAAAGTGTACCATATTCTTTACCATCATACTTCAGTTCTATTATTGTAGTATCCCAGTTACCATTTTTAGTGTTTATTATAGCAGTCTTCATTCAATATTTAGCCATGTACTGAGATTCATGTAGTTACCGGTCCAGTAACTAACAAGGGAAACTGATGCTGGAGAGCTCAGAATTTCTGACTATAAGGAATGGGGTATTAAAGACTGTTCAATATGATTTCTAAGTTCTCTAGATGCATATTTATTTTAATGCAGTTTAATATTATTTATTTAGTCCTTAAAAGTTCACTTCTTATCACACAATATTTTTATTAAATTACCGGCTTTTATTTTTAAGCACATTGAGGCTTTAGCAGAATGCGCTATATAAAGGTTAAATTATTATTATTATTATTATTATTATTATTATTATTGTTGTTATTATTATTATAACCTACCTTAAGGGGAAATTAGACAACAGAGAAAGTAGAGAACAATTAAAAATACAACGTTGAGGGGAAAATAATATGACGTTAAGGGGAAAATAACACAAAAGATATTCCCCTTAAGTCCGACTTAGCGCATGATTTTATTATTATTATTATTATTATTATTGTTATTATTATGTCACATTGTCTGTTTTTCCTCTAAAAATGGCACCTTATACCAGATACCAGAGACATTGGTTTGTGCCAGTCTGCCACTGACTACTACAGCCACTGTTGATATTTAATTTTTCCCTGCCTTGCTATACAATACACTTATGTGAAGCTACTCATTTTTCACTATTTTTGCTAAAATACATATAAACTACAATCTTGCTACATTATTATCATTATTATTATTTAAAACTAGAAATATTCCCAGCTTTTCTATTTACAAGACATTTTTTCTAAAACAAAATCTACGTAATTTCCATGAAATTTCTTTGAAATATGATATGAAATATCATAAATTCCTTCCTCTGGAATCTTTGGAATGTTGAAATGATAATTTCATGTATTATACTTTAGAGGTTTATCATCACTGACTATTAATGTTTATACAAATGCATCCCTTACTCTGTGTTCATGGGGCATAATACTTGCCTACAGGAATGATATAATTACTGCTAATTTCTATGAATATATTATTTGATTATCAATAATGATTATAATAATATTATCGATAAGTCAGTGTAATATATTCATAGAAACTTGTTTTTTATCGATAATTAAATAATAATAATATCCTTGTAATATGTTTTTTAATAACTTTTATAAGTATTTCAGATGATACTTTTCTTTAAACACTTTCTTAGGAAGCAGTGCTAGTTTCTAGAATATAACCTGTATAAAAAAAAGTTCAAATTAAATTATTGCGCATTGTGGATTGGGGATAATTCACGTTTCACATACTCAGCCCTCAGGGAAGCTTACTGTAATGATGCAGCTAGCAATCATGTACTATCAAGTCCAGGGTTGAGATAAATATCAATCTCATCTTAGAGAATTGCTCAAGTTTAAAAAAAAGATAAAATCTTAAAGCAAACAAAATCAGCTCATTGTTCAAACAATTTTAGCATTGTCATAGCTAAAAATCCATCTTAGACAATTATTTAATCGACGCATACAATTTTTTGGAGTCGCTAATTTTCAGGTTAAGTTGGGAAAAAATTAATGTGTGCATATTCAATATGGCTACAACTGCTCACACATGTATTTGCCTTTTTTTGATCTGTGAAATACGGCATTAGAGTATGTCAAAGGCTTATGCAATTTTTTACTGATACATTTTTGGAGATGTTTAATGCGTGGAATAACTGTTTCTGAGCACCTATTTCCATCCTCAAAATTGTTTTGGTCAGTATGATTGTAATAACTTCTGATAAAATATCTTCATATGAAACCATCCGCATCTTAATATGGTATAACCGGATGTTTTTGTTAGTATGGTTGATAAATGTGACTTTGCAAAATCAAGAATTTATGATGATTTTTGTTTTTGCTAAGCAAGTCCACCCTTGGGTACCAATTTATATGCCTTTTCTGGGATTTATTAATGTCATTTAAGAACTAAGGGGAAAAAAATCATATATCAAACATTCTTAGTGTGTATCAGTGAAAGAGAGGCAGCAGAGTACTGTATCACAGTTAAGTAATTTCTTTTTGGTGAGAAAACATTTTAGTGATGTTTAATTTGTGAAATATATACATATTTCATACATATCTTAAGTCATGAGGTGATATATTGCATTTAAAATTATTCAAAACTAGAAGGAACGGTTATTCTGCATATCTCTGTGAAATTTACTTTTCACAGGAGTAGGCTTGTTTTAACCCTGGAAGTTGCAAAAATTGAGAATGCGAAACTAAACTCTATTCCATTGAAAATTTAATGGTCATTTTTATTATTTTAACTAACACACATTTTAACCAACACACCCCCATACCCCCACTAATGGGGTGGAGGTATGGGTGTGTGTTGGCCTACGCACTTATGTTTACTGTCAAAATGTAGGCTTAATTTTGCATACACTTCATACTGAATAAAACATTGTGTGTGTTAGTTGTGTTGCACTCTCGCTATTGTTTATTCATTGGCATTAGCACTTTGCGGCTGTCAAAATGTGTATGAATAAATATCAACATGTGTCTTCTTTTTCTGTTAGTGTTGATGTGAGGTGTTATTGATTAATGTGTATATCGGTTTTTATGTTATATTATCATATTTGCACTAATTAGTAGTCGTTCTTTCTCTTGGGCTTCTGTCTTTCTTTGGAATGCTCTGCCTATTACAATCCGACAGGCAACTTCCATTGATGATTTTAAGGCAGCTTTAAAAACTCACCTTTTTAG